TTCCTCCACACCAGCTCGGAAAACAGAAGGTGCTGCAATCAAATAACCCCTGAGAACCAAAATTAGAAGTGATCAGTCAAGACTCAGCAATAAGAGCATTATCGTCATTTGTGAGCCACTTTATGTGTAGCAAAAGGAAAAGAACAAACTACTCTGTGACATATTTGTTCCTGTATGGTCACGTTTGTGACCACCATCAGTCTAAGCCTGTATCTAATATGAATAAAAGAACACAGAACGCACACAGAAACAAACCTAAGTGCTTACAAATGGCTTATAAATCCTTAAGATTTAAATAAAAAGAGTTCAATATCAATGTTTATTCCATATATATAATATACATTTATTTGTAGCAAACTAAAGATACAATGAGCTGATTATATATTAAATGTAACAAACTAAACATACAACCAGCTAATCATAAAAAAATCATAAAGTTCATGAAGGTACCTGAACCTCTGATAGAGTTTTGCAGCTAATGCTTTGTTTTGAAACAGTTTAGATACTTGTAACATTTTTACCTCAATTATTTTTCATGGCTTCATTTTCACAGTTCTCAGAGCTGATACTTGGCCCTTTCTAAATGTCAGACTCACACACATGTAACACACCTGAACTTCCAGTTTATACAGAAGCAGCCCAGAAACTGCAGTTACAAGATTAGGCTCAAATTCCCACTTTTTTATTTAAACAATTATGACCTGCAAGTATAAAAACACCAGCAAAAAGGCATTATTTTAGCAGGCACATGCAGAGTTTTTAAAGCCACCCCAGACGACCTCCCAGAGATGCTGCAACCTGAGTATTTGTGAATGGAATCTGCACCACTCCCCCAAGAATGGCACCATGCCAGGAACTTGTCAACTAAAAGCATTACAGGCTCTGAGCTCTTCTATGCATTGGGCTGAAAGCAACACACTTATATTCTCTTCATGACACACCTTTCTGGGGTTTTTTTCTACCAAAAAGCATTTTTTTTTAATATGAGGCAATTCCTAAGATGCCTCTTAGAGCCCAGTTTCTCGGCTCATGCCTTTCTACAGTCTCCCAAACCAGGTTGCTTTAGCTCATGATTAATTATCACTTTGGGATGAGGACGATGGTGTTTTACAGCCTCCAAGTCATCTTTTATCAAATTCCAAGCCCATGTTTCTCTCTCAGCAGGCCTCATTGCCATGGAGATCCCACTACCCCCAAAGGAAGTTCAGAACTCTGTGGCATTCAAGTTAAATTGCATGGGGTACTTGCAGATTCAAAACCTTCTGGCTGCTAGGTTTGAAAGTTCATCAGAGCAGTAATGAATAACAATAAAAAGTTACTACTGAGCCTGCAAATTCTTGGTAAGAAAGAGATAGCTGATCTAGTTGCAGAGGAAGAAAGACTACCAGCTGTATTCAGGATGAAATGATAGGATTTAAACTGTCACATAAGCCCAGCTCTGCAGTGCCATATGTGAAGCACATGTACTCATATTGTTCTGAATCTCTGCAACTCTTTCTGAAGTACCAGTCCCTTGACACAAACATTTAAATCACTTTATAAGTGGCATTTGAATATTAAATATTTAACTTTGCACTCAAAGCGTTAACTTGACAGTGACGGGACAGATCCTTTAAGCACATTTGACTATCAGCTCTGCCAGGTTACACCAAAACTTGGCAGGATGCGAAATATTTTCTAGTAAGCAAGTGAAAATAAGTTCTCCATGGCACTCAGTTAATGCAGCTATTCACTTTGCTGACGGGCTACAACAAGGTAGGGATAAAGAACAAAGCAAAACTTAATCAAAATTAACCTAAACACACTAGAACTAGTTGTAGGTTCAAAATTAACCTAAACACGCAGAACGGGCTGAAAGCCGGAGAACTTCCCCGCAGTTTCTCCCCGGCTAATCTTCCCCCACAGGACCTTCACACGCTCCTCGTGAGCCCCCAGCATTACCTCCAACCACCCCCAGCGCAACACCCCGGATTCCTTAAATAATTGCTCGCAGATAAAAGCTTTGCAGCCGCTCGCCGGAGCAGCTGGAGGCAGGTATTGCAAGGGAGCTTTCTCCTTCTTCCTTTTTTTTCCCTCCCTTTCCCTTCCCTGTGTACTTTTGCACCGGCGAGTACAAACGTGCCGCTGCCGCAGCCTCCAACCCGTCCGGCGGGCTCCGCGGGCTTTGTTAAGAGGCTGATGCCGCTCCCCCCGAGCAGAGGGTTTCGCAGAGGGGTTCTCGCCCCGCCGCCCTGCCCGGGGATGCTGCCCCGAGCTCCTCCCGGTACTTACTGCCGGTCTCGGGGCTGTGCAGCGCTCAAACTGCCCAGGGCGAAGAGTAGCGCCCAGGGGCTGCAGCGAGACATGGTATCGCGAATCCCGTTCGGGGCGGGCAGCTCCAGGAGCCTTTTGTTCGTGGCTGAGCGCAGCCCGAGCCTCCGCCGCCCGCGCCCGGGCTTGGCTTTGGCTTGGCTCGGCTCGGCTCGGCTCCCCGGTGCCTCTGGCCGCCGCCCCCGCCGCGTCCCCGCCCCCGGGCCGCCCCCTCCTGGCCCCGGTGCCCGCTCAGCCCCGGCTCTTTGCTCTTTGTCTGCCGTTCCCCCGCCCGCTCCTGACAGCGGGGCCCGCCCCACACGGCCCCAGGTGTGCTCCCACCCGGCTCCGCACCTCCGGCAGCGCTGACAGCGCAGTCGGGCTGGGTGTCCCCGCCTGTCCCCGGGGCTGCTGCGGCATCGGCGCCTCTACTCCCCAGCCCAAAGTGCCCCCGGAGACCCGCCCGGGCTCCTCCGCCTTCCTCCCGAGTCTCTGAGAGGTGCCACAGACGCGAAAGCCGAGGTTACCAAAGATCCAATGATCGGGCACTCCCGGCATGGTGTGTTCCCGGTAACAGAGCCTCTGCACGCCGAGGGGCTCCACTGAGCGCTGCCAAAGAACTGCTTCCCAACCCAAAATCCAGCGCCAGCACTGATGCTACTCTGTTTTTTTTACCGGATTTTTTTATCCTCCTCCATCCCTAGGCCCGAGTCTATCCATCTCCATCCCTCTGTCCCAGCCAGCGCTTCCAGGGGTTCGGGACAGGAGAGGGAGCTCTCCCTGCACCAGTCTGAAGAGGTGCAGCCTAAGAGTAGAGCTCACATAAACCAAATCATAAAGCAAATCCAAAGCAAGAGCAGAGATTCGAGATGATGAAAAATCTCACAACAGTGATGGATTAAATGCTCCAGCAGAGAGGAATTCTTGCCCCAGAAATAAATGAAACCCCTCAATATAGGCAGTTTGTTTCCCCCAACATGTTTCCCCCAAATACTACACACCTGCCTTAAGGTAAAGTACCAGGAAAACAGAAAAAAATTATAACCTTTTATTCTAGGTTGGCTCCAATATTTGACCCTCAGTTTCATTTCTTCTCAAAATCACAGGTATGGGCCCCAGCATTTTATTTAGCAAAAATACACATTTGTATCCAAGTCAGCTCGAGAGTTTCCCAAAGTCCCTTCCTTCTGGCTTCTGACAAGAAAAAGAGCAAGTTGCTAAAGCTGCTGTTATTTTTCTCCATCTTGAAATAATTTCAGCTACCATATATTTCAGCACTGTCATTCCTAGCTACCACATTTTCTGCAAGGCAATCCATTCCCTAAAAGCACAAAGTCATCAAAAGGAACAAGGATTCCCTGACAATTTCAGCAACAGGACTCAGAGGCTGATCGGTCCTTAACCAGGAGATAAATAAATGGTGCCTAAATTTTTACCTTATTTGAAACTTACTTTAATATGTCTTCTCTTTAAAATAAAATCATTAACTCAGTAGATTTTTGATAAATTCAGATTATCTTCAATAGTGGATAACACTGCTAGACATGGTTACATTTTCCTACTTAAATCTAACCTAAATCAGCCCTGCCTTATTTTTGTGGAGAGGCAGAACAAATCTAGAAGAACGAACACATTTTGACAAATTAGACAAGACTAGACTCTAGAACCACAGGGATCACTTCCCAAGGAAACCATGCACTGTGAGAAGGAACTTATTAGAAAGTACATTAAAGGGGGAATGTTTTGGGTTTGGCTTTTTGTTTGTTTGTTTGTTCGGGGTTTTTGAGACAAACTAAAGAAAAAGCAAAATCTGCTAATTCCAAATTCTTTTTCAGCTTCATCATATTCATCATATTAAAGGAGGCAAAAAATGAAAATGAAGCACCTCTGCTGTTCTCATGGTATGGCAGCCTCAAACCAAAGTACAATATCTCACCAACCAAACTTCTGACTTTGATAGAAGCCCTGCAGAGATCAGGTATGTTTGGGCTGGAACATCATCATGCTTTCGAAAAAATAATTTTCTCTACACATACTTTTACAGAGCAAACCACAAATGGTTCATAACAGACTCGTACTTGAGATCTGCAGGATATGTACCAAAAAAATCACCAAGTGCCACTGAACACTCATCCTGTCACCCACATTTCATCTTTGAGAATGCTCTGGGTAAGGACTCAAAAGAAGCAACAGGATTCAGCAATGAACTGATAAATGGAGCAAAGTGTAGCTCTAAAATGGAGCTCCATCATCTTCAGAATAATACACAAATGTGTATTTCTACATTTCAAAAAGCACAGCTAGAAATTCCCCTTATGTGGAATAGAGCCCTTTGGAATAACTAACTTTTTTAAAGGTGAGATTTCTTCTAAACTGAAGAATTTCTGTTTGGCATTTACTGAGTACAAGAAATCTCAGGCAATTACAACCTTTAAAGCAAACCATCTTCTAATTATGAAAGTATGTGCAATCCTGTAAATAAGGCTGGAATCAGCTTCGTCTGAAAAAAAAAAAGGAGGTTTTAGATATAATTTCAAACTATTTACTTACTGAAATGGAATTTTCTGTGCTTGCCAAAATGAATCCCATTCAGTGTGATGCAACAGGTGTTGGAATTCCAGCAGCCGCCTGCAACCCACATCTGGGAATGGTTAAGGAGTTTAAAGGCTGTAAGAACTGCTCATGTATAAAAACTATTCATCAGTCAGATCCATGGGTCATATTCACCCACTGTGCATAGCTAGGATTTTTATTCGTTTACTGAATGCGTAATTCTGCTCCTCATGAAGTTTGAGGAATCTCAGGCACTTGAAAACATGTGGGGCCATACTGGTGTCAGAAAGGTGAGGGAGGGACAGCAGTTAAGAGAAGAAGCTGCGAATACACCTATATTGGTTCTGACTAGATCTAATCCTGACCCCTTGTACAATCTTATCACTTCTCTACAGAAGAAATTATCGCCCCGATGTCCCATCTACATCATAAATAAACTATGCAATGTGAAAATTATCAGACAGATATTTGTCAAACAAAAAATGTTAATTTTTGAGTGCTGTGAATCCTTTTGGATCCCCCCTCCAATTGCAAAATTCAAATCAGTGAGATTACTCCCAAGAATCAAGTGGTAGGACCACCCCATTAATAATTAACCCTTGTTAAGCCTCAGCATAACTGCTGTCACCAACCTGTCACATAGATGATCAGATCAGATCTATAAAAGGTAATACTTATTTAAAGATTTTGAGAGTATATATGTAAATTGTGCACAGAAAAGATACTGTACTAAACCCAAGGCTATTACTTATTCAGCTTTGTGTTAAGTCCTGTAAGCACTAGATTTCAGTAGAAGGTGGGCGAGAAATAAAGAACAAGTCCTCAGTTTCCAGAATCATTTGTCCCCACTCCCCAATGGAAAAATGTTTGTCTCAGTCATTACATAGCACCAGACAAGAATAAAGCCTTAATTAATTTTTATAGTATTATATTCATGGTAAAAAAGCCACATCCATTCTTTAACTCCCAGTTTAGTTCTCCCTTTGTGTTTCTGGGAGAGCCAAACAGAGATAGCAAATACAGAAACCGATAACTGCAAAACAAACGTCCCAGGCTTTGCCACACTCTTGGAAGTTCCCCAGGATAAAGGCTTGACAGAGAATGCATCAGTCCACAGTGGTGGAAACCAGACTGATCCTCCTTCCAGGAAAACAGGCATCTCTAGAACAAAATTATAAGGAAAGGATAATTAAAGAGCACATTTTAAATTAGAGTGTAATCTGAGTAGCATATAACAGGATAATGATATTGAGAACATAATTATTAAATAGCTCTGTCAAAAATGGTTATTATTCATCTGTAGAACAGGAAAGTCTGATCTTTCACAGTAATAAAACATTTTAATTCCTGACAAAGTGACAGAAATAGTACTAAGAAAGCATTCAAAGGGGCAGACACTCATCTAGAAGGAAGAGCACTGTGCTGATCATAAGTGGCTGTCATTGAGACATTTAGTCAGAAAGAACTTCCCAGTTTCCTTTGAAGTAGTTTCACAGTTTTCTTCTCAGCCCCAACATATGACTGGCATAGTTTCTGCATAGTCCGATTAACAGTGAAGTCACTTCCCACATGAAATAGATACTAAAATGTGGAATTAAGTTCTGATATCCTACAGGCCACCTCCAAATACACATTATCTATATAAATAAAAAGATTAGATAAGTCTGAAGAGGTAAGTTGTGTTTGCTCCCCTAATACAAAAAATTCAAGATTTAAGCAAGAATCTCAATAGGTCTTGCACACACATTATTACAGAATTATTTTAAAATAAGAGGCAGCTGAGACTCCTCTGCAAACCTTGTGCTTGCTTTGCAGGCCACACACAAATGCAGTGGAAGAAACAACCCAAAACCATTCCTGAGTTGAGCAGGAACGCTCACTTAATCACTGGAAATGCTCTTAATTGGTGTGGCTCAGTGGTGCATTTCAGAGCTATTAGATCTTCTGCCACTCTGGAACTCTTTTCATGTCCTGGCAGTCCCAGCCCAGTCAGCAGTTTGTTTATCACATTCAGGATGAATTTCCGGATCTCCAACAAAGTGGTATTTACTCTGAGGCAGGGAAGACTGCAGTAATCCAATAAGTTCTCATTAGCCTAAAATGCAGAAACATCTGCTGGGGTCATGAGCTGCTTATGTGCTGTTGATGAGCACAGAACCAGCACCCTCTTCAGCAGTGTGAAAAACGAGCTGGGGGGAGGGGAACAGGAACCTCGAGGATCTCCCAGGGCACCCCAGGCAGGAGGGATCCTGCCTTGATCCCAGAGAACAGGAATTACAGCCAAAAAATGCCTTGACTCAGCCCTCCTGAGCTGGTGTCCCATCTCCTCTGAAATCACTGCCCATGTGATGTGCTGCAAGTTAAAATAGTTGTTTTTCTAGTCAGCAGCTTTCTGCTGAGTGAACAGAAATGAGAACCTGTGGTACTTTGGATCCCTCAACTGCACTGAAAACTCCATTGCCTTTAGCACAGGAACCCGCCCTTCTCTATACTCCTGGTCCATCAGGCTTCCCCTGAGGACCCACCATGTTAACTGCAGATGGAATGGTAAATAAAATAAAAGTCAGGAGATGCAGCAGTTAATGTGATGTACCTTTGACAGTGGAGTTCTGGAGATCATGAAATTAAGAGATTTAATGCAGAGCTGGAGAACGGAAAGTCATGGCTTTTGGTTCAAGCCATATAGTCTGCTCATAACCCTTAAATATTTCTTAGTCCAGTAAGAACAGAGAGTAATGAAGATCTAAATCATTAGAACTCAATGAAAGAGTCTGGCAACATCAGTCAGGACCTCAGAAGAATGTGGTCAGAGCTCTACCAGGATCCAGGCAGGGCAATCTGCAACTGCAAACCCTGCTTAAAACAGCTGCAAATCTCTTTTTAGACAATCTTAAAATCCCTTTCTCCCCCCCCACAAAAGCACTTTAGAACACATGAATGTTAATAATTGGTTAAGAAGAACTTCTGCCTAAAAGATGAATAAATAGGTAGCAAATACTGCACAAGTTCAGACAAAACAAAACTAAGTCTTCATTGGTACAAGCTGCAGAAGGGAGAACATTATTAATTCTGGGGGAGGAAAAAGAAAAAGATTGATAACCTGAATAAAAAAGAGCCCTTAATTTGTTTAGGATTCCAACCGATTTAGAGCATGTAACATTGTCAGAAAATAAGTGGAAAATACAAAATAAGTGGTGTCACATCTGTTTAGCTCCTGCTCCAGTGATTCTGCAGCTCTTTGTTGTTGTTTGTACAGTGTTAAATGACAGAATCCAATTCTGTAGCTGTTTCAAGGTGGAGGAGCCTAAAACCCTTCTGCAAAGAGCCAAAGCAGAACCACTTAAAATATTCAGAAAAAATCAAGAAGGAAAAGTCTCAGTCCAATCTAGTTTCTAAGCCTTTGCTGGAGAGGCTGAGCTGCTTTGGCTGACACTTGTTCTACCATTTGTATGAAGAATTACACAAGTGTTCAATTTAAGGCAAAGAACGGCCAGAATGCTCAGATTAATGCTTCTGGTTGTTCTGAAACAATGAGCGCACATCCCCGGGCACGGCATTGTTCTGGACAAGTAGTTTGGCTCCAGCTCCAGGACTCCTCTTTTCCCTGGAATTGTGTGAGGATAACGACTGCCACCTGCAGCAGCAGAGATGAACTACTGCCCCGAGGACTTAGAGCCTTTAATTGTGGTCACAGCAAGCACTGGTTCTGAGGGAGAACTAACAGCATTCCACTCCTTTTTAGAGGGAAAATTTGCGTGGCTGGCTGTTGCTCAAGTAACATTTGGGTGTATAGATACACACACAATAGTATCTCAGTGGTAGAAAATCATTTGACTGAAGAGGATGGGTTTAATTTAAAAGTATTTCTTAAAGAAAAATATATTTTTAGGACAGCAATGAGGTGTACAATCAAGAAATCCTAGGAAAGACATTTTGGTATGTCTGTTCAGAGACATTATTATCAAGACATTACAGTACTGATTTTAATTTCATCTCCTTCATTTTTAAGACATCACTTCATGACTTTCAGAGTCTCAGAATGACACACTGATCATAAGAAGGTTAAAGGTGTGAGGACGCAGTGTCCTAAGCAATAATCCAACCCTAGGAAAAAACACTTTCATCACATTGGAGCCTTTCTACCCACATCTCTATCCACCAAAACCAACTACCCTACTTATTTGTAGCTAAGCTACGATTGCTGGGCAAAGTTCCCCACCCACTGGCCAAATTCATGGATGCAGCGCATGCTCCTGATACAGAGCATGATCCATCTACCTGCAACACTTACAACTCACTTTTATTTTTATTTTATTTTTGTGCTGAATGGTAGCACACACAGGTGAACTACTAGGTGCAGATCATCTAATATGTTCCTACAATAAAACTGGCTTATGGGTAAGTTGCAGCTAAAAAAATGATACTGCCATTATATACAAGTTGGGTCTGAACAGCTGTTATACACTGGCTTCTCATCCAGTGCACAGCATTCTACTGATCCAGTTACTTAATTTACTCCTAATTTTTAATAAAAGGGGACAAAAATCTAGTTAGACCGTTGGTGACACAGGAAGAAAGCCTGAACAGCACTTGAAGGAGTGCAAGGAGAATGCTCCAAGTATTTTTTTGAGGCTAAAAGGCCTTATAGACACAGCTTAAGCCAGAAACATACCCCTCTGAACACAACACAAAGCAAAGGTTTCGAAAAATCATCACAGAAAGACGTTCCATAGCTTATAAAAAACAAGATACAGCATGTCTTCCAGAGAAAAATGCACGCCATGTACAAAAAAGGAAAGCATGCCAGATCTGGCATGTATGTTCATAGCCCAGCACGCCTGCTCTCCAGCACTTTCTCAGTCATTAGGCTTGTGGTTTCCCTCCACATTCCCAATCCTTTGGCCTGAGCACTTCGGGTGCTCATGGCTCAGCACTGGGACCACTCAGTGCGTACAAGTCCATTGCTGGACTGTGTAGTATCAGCCCAGCTGGAAACAAAAGCTTCTGTAGGAAATCAGTGAAGATATTCAAGCATGATACAGCAGTGGGAAATATTCTTTATTATTAAAAAGAATTAAAGTCCTTAAAGAGCATTGGGACTACCAGACCTAACTAAGCCTTTTGAACTGTTCACATATGAGCAACTGAATGTTGTTCTGGGAGTACTGTCACAGACCCTGAGAAACCAGCAAAGGGCTATGGCTTACTTCTCCAAACAGCGAGACAGTGTTAGCCAAGGGTGGCTGGGGTGTTTGAGAGTTGTAGCAGCAACTGTTATCCTGATCCAGGAGGCCCAAAAACTCACCCTTGGGCAGCGCATGGTCGTGTATGTACCCCACGCAGTCCAAGCTGTGCTTGAGGAAAAGGGGGGCCACTGGCTGTCCCCCAGCAGAATGCTTACATACCAAGCTGAGTTGTTGGAACAGGATGATGTTACCCTGAAAACAACATCTATTGTAAATCCTCCTATGTTTCTGTCCTCAACATTGACTGACAGTGTGCCTGAGCATGACTGTTTGCAGACCATTGAGGAGGCCTTTTCCAGCAGACCAGACCTGAAGTACGTGCCTCTGGAAAACCCAAACTGGGAACTGTACACAGACGGAAGCAGTTTCATGCGGGATGGAAAGCAAATGACAGGGTATGCAGTGACAACCAAGGACAAGGTAGTCGGGGCAAAGGCCTTGCCAGCGGATGTATCACCCCAAAAGGCGGAACGGATTGCACTGACAAGAGCTCTCGAACTGAGCGAAGGAAAGAAGGTAAATACATGGACTGATTCTAAATATGCATTCAGTGTTGTACGTGCCCATGGAGCCATCTGGAAAGAGAGAGAGCTACTAATGGCCCAAGGCAGTGGGATCAAACGTGCAAACCAAATCCATGCACTCCTACAGAGTATGTGGAAGCCTGAGGAAGTGTCTATCACGCATTGCAGAGCTCATCAGAAGTGGAAAACAACTCCCGAATTAGGAAATCATTTTGCCAACCAGGCGGCAAAAGGGGCTGCAGAAAAAGGTATCCTAGCAGTAATACCACAGAAGGAAATCGATCTGACAGGGTTCACCCCAAAATATGATGAGAAAGACCACCAGTTAATTAAGTCCCTTAACGCTGAAACGAAAGAAAGTGGACAGGCTGTTACACCTACAGGACATGTTGTAATCACACCCCAACTCCTTAGGGAGATAGCTCTGCGGGAACAGGAGGCTACCCACTGGGGAACAGAAAACCTTCTAAAACATTTGAAGAAGGCAGTAATAGGGAGAGGTATGACCAAAGTCGTGCAATCCATTGTAAGTAAATGTGAAATCTGCAGGCAAAATAATCCTGATATAAGCAAGAGAGTAGTGCCAGGGGTAACAAAGGCCAGGGACCTTCCCGGAGATTATTGGCAAATAGATTTTGCTGAGTTACTACCCAGGGAGGGATACAAGTACATACTAGTACTGGTTGACACGATGACCTGAAGCTTACCCCTGTCACACTAACACAGCAAGGGAAGTGGTAAAACTTTTGCTCAACCATATAATTCCAAGGTTTGGGGTTTCTCTAGGAATGCCATCAGATAGAGGGAAACATTTTATTGCAACAGTAGTGAAGGAGGATTGTCGCGTCCTGGGAATTGCCTGGGACCTGCATACTCCCTACAGACCTCAGGCAAGCGGCAAAGTAGAACATATGAATGGTACTCTTAAAATGCAAATTGGTAAAAATTGTCAGGAAACATTCATGTCATGGGTTCAGGTTTTACCTCTAGCTCCGTTGAGAATTTGCATACAACCATGGCGGAGAAACAACATAAGTCCTTATGAAATATTATATGGGAGACCATACCAAGCTCCACATATTCCAGGGAACATTCACCTGAGGGGGAAAGTTGATCTACAAAAGTATTTAATGGTTCTAGGTGCTACTTTACAGAAAGTGCAGAGATTCATTAAGTTATCCAGACCCATAGGATTGGACACCCCTGCCCATCAATTCCAGCCTGGAGACTGGGTCTGTGTTAAATGCTGGGACAGTGACTCCTTGGCTTGCAGTGACTGCAAGCCAAGTGGAGAGGACCATTCCGAGTCCTGCTGACTTCCCTCGCTGCAGTCCAAGTTGCTGGCAAAGGACCCTGGTTTCATTACTCCAGAGTTAAGAAAGCTTCGGTTCCTGGAACTACTAGCAAATCAGAGCCCGACACCGATGAACAGCATGTGGCCTAGACTGTTTCTTCTGTACATGTTATCTGTACAGTTGGTAACTATGACTCAGGTTTAGAACCAAAATTTACATGTGGCTTTAGCAAAAATGGATCCAATATCCTTCATGAAAGTGAGTGCTGGATTTGCACTATCGATTCAGCTAAAATTTGGCAACAAGTTTAAATTCTACATTGGGCAATTCCTGAGGATGTCTCACTGGGTTTTGGAACATTCTCCACAAACTTACTTCATGGTTACCGAATTGGACCTGGATAAAACAACTGTTTATAGTAGTGATATGCATAATTAGTGTTTGTATAATAGCTCATTGCATGAACCGATGTTGTAGATGTTGGCCATCTCTCTGGTATAATGATAGGTATAAGTGGTAGAGATTGGACAAGACTGAGTTTTATCCATCTCTAAAGGGGGGACTGATGCCTCAGAGCTTTTTTTTAATTTTTAAACTTTTATAGATTTTAGAAGTAGATGTGAACGTAGATTTTAATGTAGCTGTATTATATCCCTTACCCTGTAGCATACCCAACCCTACTATCCCATTTCATATCAATCCCTCTAAAATTCCGTTAGCATGTTTAGTCTTCTTTTCAAGGTAGAATTGTAGAAAAACACCCTAAGGCCTAGACGAGAAGATATCACAGACACAGCGACCTTCAAGCCCAGAATCTTGGAAGAACTCCAAGGACTCTATGTGCTTTGAAGAAGATGAAGATGAGAAAGAAGGGGTCCCAAACACCCCCAGACCCAATTCCTAAACAGGTGTGTCGGGGGCAGAATGGGGCAGAACCAGGGTTGGACAGAACTGGGATTGGATGGACCTTATTATAAAATCATAGAACAACTGCCTGAGGGAGCGTGCAAGGTATGTATTCCCTGGGCCTTAGGCCTGAGGTTAAAGGACCTGCTCTCTTTATCTTATCTTATACAGTAAATTGGCCTGGAGTCTTTTTCTCCGCAGTCTTTTAGGCAACACCAGGAATATTATTTACTTATTATTTCTTATTATTTACTTTTCAGTATTGCCAAGGCAGAAAGTGATGAAACAGCTGTCACAGAAATCCATGTTAAAAGAGAGCTGTGATGTGTCCTGATGGGACAGCAGGCAGAACAACACAAGTTGTATGTTCATACAAGAAGCAAAAGGATAGCATGTCCAATGGCATTAAGTTAGTACCTACCCAGCAGTAAAATTATACAGAAACTTAGTTGAAATACCAGCGTTTCACAACATCTAGCCCGTGCTTCTCTTCACATGCACTTTGGTTATGCAGAGAAACTTCTTTACTGACTTCAAACGACAGGTTCTGCACTTCTCTGAAGCTCCTGGAACACATGAAGCTGAATCAGTGACTCCAAAGGACAGGGACTTCTGCTTTAGCCCAAAGACTACACACCTAGACATTGGTGTCTTTCTCCTACTATGGCCCCACCAGAATAAAAAAAAAAGTAAAATGTGAATTTTCTTCCCTAAGACAAGAATCTGGAGAATACAGGGGCAGTTGGCAGGTGGGGGAGATGAGTAGCTTCAATGATTTGAGTTGTAATCTCTTCTGGGGCAATGAATGAAATATTCTTGAATATGTCATGCTTTAGCTCTTCTTCACTTTCCCAGTGGTACTTTGTATTTGTTGATACAATACTCGAGAAAAGAAAAAGCTATTCTATGCTCCTAAAGGATGATACATTTGCAGGGTTGTTATTTAAGACATTGTTTCCAGTTCACTTCTCTGTCACCCAGAGTTCTCCACTCCTACATATTTGCACTTAACCAGGTCTGTTCTTGCTCACTGAAATTCTCACCTAAAGCGGCAGAGAATAGCACACTAAAGTAGTTCACTTGGCATGCACAAACAAAAACAAAGCCAACCATCCTACTTTGACTGTAGGTAGGGCAGGGACAGAAATGCAGATGGGCTGCTATAAAGAGAATTAAACTTACTGCTACCAAACCCTCAGTTAATCCTCCTCCATTCTATGTTCTGGATATATTCTGGCAAGGTTGATAGATTTTCCTTGGAATATTTAGTTAACAAGTCTTCCACTCAACTTTTGTAATTACCTTTGAAGCTCTTTATCCAGTTTCTGAGACACTTCTTTAAGCTCTTTCAGGGCAGTAAGTGCTTTTGCACAGTCTTCTGAGTGTCTTGGCATAATTTCTGTCAGAAGCTCCCATGTGATCTTTAATTGCTTTCCCAGTTCATCTACAAGTGAGATGTTAAAGGTATTATTAAAAATGCAGTGCCACCAGTTAATACAGGATATCAGCAGCTGGAGTAACCCAGAGGCAAGTGAACTAGATAATGAAAAAATACTGTTTGTTCAGCTTTCACAAACACACTGTGAAACTGTGAAAGCCAAATTATTTTTCAGTATTGTGACAAGCACTAGCAACGGGCTATTGAATGACAGCTTGATTAGCAATTTTAGAGTATGCAAAAGATTTTTATAAGACAAATGCGAGAGAAAAAACAAGTTTTAAACATCCAAAATTCCCTGGCCAGTTACATGTATTGCTCTTGGCATGTAGCCCCCCAAGAAATTTATCCAGTCATTTCCTTCAGCGTTCATAAACCAAAAAGAAATATGAACCTATTTATTTCAAGTCTTCTTACAAGAATTCTAAGTTCTTTAATAAATGTTTCCATTTGTTTCTAAGTGCAAGATTATTGTAAATTGTTTCTTGCAGACCAGTAGTTTAAAAATGTAACTTTTTGTCCAGACTTCAATATAAAACACATGTACTGATTTATTGAACATTCTGATTCAACACAACACAATAATATTTAAGCTCCAGTTCTACAAGAAACATGAGCAAGTCTACCCAGGTGAGTGTATCCTTCAAACACAGAAAAAGGAAGAGATCACAGTATTCCTACATTTTCCTCATTAACATTTTCCTTATTTACTTATTTATTCCTACATATTCCTTATTTACGCAGTAGGGACAAGAAATGAGGAATAATGTCATGAATACAGTTAAAATATACAGAAATTTGCTAAAGAAGGTGTATATGAAGACTGACCCAGCTTAGAAAGTTAATCTCTTCCCTGCTGCAAGATAAAAAACCTGTTCAAGTGCAGTGAAGTGGTTAAACAGAGATAAGAATTACACACAGCACAATGTGTGACTAATGCTGCAGCCCAGTGTTCACATAAGCTCTAAGAGCACTCAAAATTCCTCCAATGGCCATAGACACATGTAGCAATAACAATATAAGAAGTTTTTTTAGCATAAAACCACTATTTCTGAAAGTAAATTTGGTAAATCAAGTTTTCATACCAAGATATGCTTGCTTATCTCCTTCTATGTGAATGTTCTTTATGGGTAATTCATGTCTAGTGGCATCCAGGGAAGCTGCAAAGCTTTTATATTGCTTTTGAAACTGTTCACAGACAGGAACAAGGGGAGACAGCACTTCAATCTGAAACACATACACAATGAACCAAGACTTCTCCAAAAGCAGCTACTTTGTAATTAAAAACATGGCTCAATACAGAAAAATAATTTATTAAAAAACCTCCAACCAAATATCACTCTGAAATGCTCACTGACAGAGGAATTCAAGAAGTTTGTGGTACAATAATCCCACCATGCTGTTTAATATGTTTTCCTCTACCACCTCAAAATGCCCGGGTCAATACCAGTTTCTTTGGTCCTGTAGCTCAGAGGTATCAGCAACACAGCAGGCAAAAGTTTTTATAGCAGATGCTTCGATTACTTTAACTGTACTTAACAAGAGTGTTCTCCAAAAGCCTTGTTTAATTTTTGCAGTGCATATTTGTTAAAAAGCAAAGAGAGATACAGTTTTGAACATTAATTATTCATAAGAAACCTGTCTTCTTACAGCCAAATTAGAGCTGGGTAACACAGACAAACCGGACAAAGAAAGAATCCAAGATATTGACTTCTCATTAAGGGTTGGCATCTCAGCTCCAGCAGAGAAATATTCTCTGAATAAAGGGCTACTTCATATACGAGTTTGTTTAAATGTAAGAGAAGTATAAATTGTACTAAAACCTACCTGTTTGTCTAATGCTTCACTGAGCTTCTGCTCTCTCTCTTTAAGCAGAATTTCACGTTTCAACTCCAAGAGCTTCTCCTGTTGTCTCTGCTTTTCTTCAGACAACATCATCAAGTTTTTTTCTGCCTTTTCCTCCAGCTTGGCAAGATTTTTTCCTGTCTATTACATCCCGAAAATATGCACAGTTAATGCTACACCTAAGCAATTAACATATTCTGAGTAAACAGATGTAAACCAGGTCAAAGAGCTGTAACTAATGAATAGGAGACATCACATAATAAGCACAGAACATCAGAATTAAAGCCCCCCTCAATCCTCTTTCCTCTGCTGCTTTTTGTAAAGGAAAATACACACATACAGCACTGAGGGAAAAAAGTCACTGCTATAACCTTGAACTCCAGCCAGACTCACACAGTTTTCCCAAAACTTCAGCATCCCCCCAATTCCTAAGAACCAGCACCAGATAATAAACTGGCACTAAACTCACTCTAAGAGTTTTCAAAGCAAATAACACACTTTTACAACCATAATCACATACAGTCACAAAAATATAACTTTTATGGATCAGGAAGCATTTAAGAAATTAAACAATTCCTCAATATCAGGTTCTATCTGAAATACCATATATTTGACTGACTCTCACCTCTATTCTTAAGTAAGTTAAAAGTAGTGTCTCAGATTCCAGCTCTGTCATTGAATCACTGGAATCAGTTTCCTTCAGAAAAGAAAAGAATATACTGCATCAAGTTTGGTATTTAAGCAATAATTTTTTCAGTGGTCAAATAAATTACCAATAGTCCGATTTGTGACTGGAATCATCACCAACAACAGTAAGTTTGATCAGAAAAGTTTGGGGTTTTAAACAACTCATGTTAATTAAATATACCTTATTGTTCCACAACATTTTATAATATTTTCAGCACGTTTTCATAATACTGGCAGAGAATTTGAAGTTTTAGTCCTACACTGAATGAGATCCCTAAATAAGGCACTTCAAGCTAGGTTGAATCAATGTTAGTTCTTTAAGCAGATAAATCTCAAAGATAAGGTGATAGAACCAAACAGGATAGGAATGCAAAAAGAATCCACCTGAGGAGATGCTATAATTGGAACAGATTCTTTACCAGAGAGAAGCAAAGTTCTGGTCAGTGTTCAGAGATCTGATAAACAAACCACACATTGCCATCAGTAGAACTGGCTTCTGTCAGGAGGGTTTAGATCATCCCAGGACCTCAGTTGTAATCCAGATTAAAGAGACAGAAAATCTTCATTTTGCACAGTTCGAAATAAATATCCTTACAAATGAAAGCAGTGAGACTCACTGCTCCAGTTTTCTCTGTCTGTGTCCATGCATCTCCTTCTTCAGCTGATTCTGAACAATCACTCTTCTTGTGGACAGTTTTATCTGTATCACAACAAAAAAGTCAGTGCTCTCTTCTACCAAGGTCTACAGGGTGGATCAACATACCATCAGGTTCTTTAAAGGCAGAGATAATTTCAAAATTATTATGTGCACCGGTAAAGAAGACTTGTGTTCTATGTCTGGCTCTGATATACTCATGAGCAGACGTGGATCATGTGAGCATTTAGCTTTAAGTGACAGTTACAGACAGATGAGCAGACGTGGATCATGTGAGCATTTAGCTTTAAGTGACAGTTACAGACAGATGGGATCTACTTTTCAGAAGAGCTGACAGTCCAACACCCACCTGTTACAGGAACAAAGACTTGAGAGTACTTTAATTTTTTATCTTCAACAAAACCAACAGGGCACCCAAAACATATTACAAATTGAGAGGTTAATTTAAACCCTAAACGTCTTAGTAGCTCTGCTTAAGGACACCAGAAACAACATTCACTTCATTTAAGAAAATCCTTTTGTGACTATACAAGACTACAATGATTTCTTATCACCATGTTCCAGCACATACATTAAAAAATAATAAAACCAGAAATCAAGTATAAATGGAAATGTACCATTAATAGCTGAGAGATCAAGGTCCGGTCTTTTAATTGTTTCTTCATCTAATAAGGTGGACTGCAAGTCACCATTCTCAAAGATACTCTGGCTTAAGCTATGGCCAACACCTGTGAAAAGAAGCTGTTATCAAATTAAAAGAATGTGAACAGGTCCTGCACAAATTCACAACCACATGTTGTAGAGGCACAGAGAAGCTGATTTTAGTCACAGTCCCACTCATCTCAGACCACACCATGATCTGAGAAATGCTGCTTAAGGCTCAGCCTTGACAAACTGGACTAAGCTCCTCTTGAGCTGATCAGAAACACTGTTCTCAGGAACTAGCGTTCTCTAATGAATACCTACTTTTTAAAAGCCTTGGAAACTTATTTTTCTTGAACCTTCAAAGAAAGTTACCAATGGAATTGCAGCCAGGATGAAAAACTGCTATGACTAAAGCCCAAAGTAACACCCTCCAAGCTCTCAATTCCCAGAAGATAATACACTAATGTGTATGTCCCAAACACCTTGGAGCCAGCCAAGGACTGTGGGTAACGACAGACAAGAATGGTTGGGAATAACCAAGGAATTAACATGTGGTGAGAAAGATGAAGATTGGGTGCAGAAAGGTTGCTCCTGTTCAACATTCTCAACTCAGATGTCCTGATTTCCTCATGATTTTCAAGTCAAGGCCTTACCAGAGAATTATTTTGCAATTCTTACAAAAGAAATAAAAATGGACTGTTTTGCAGACAGGGATTTTCAGGCATTTACACTGGGTTTAATAAAAAGATTAAATAAAAAAAAAGGCAGAGTACAGGTGAGGGCATAGGAGAAGAACAGTTTAAAACCTTCTGCATAAGGCAGGAAAGATGCTTTTAGGCAGCTCAAGCATTCAATTCTAGATCCAGCACCTGAGTTCACATCTCTTAATCCCACATCAAGCTTCTCAGTTCCCATTTTTATACAAATAATGACTGGCAGAGATGCAAGTAATAAAAAATATCGCCATCTTAGAGCTGTTAAGAGTTTCAGAGGTTGGAAAAAAGAAAGAATTTCAGCTTTGAAATACCGGTAAAACCTACCAACAGAAGTTTCATGTTTCTGAGAAAGAACTGATTTTGGTTTAGCTGCAGAAGATGGTGGGGCAGCACACAATGAAGAGGAACTTGCTGAAGCACCCTGCAAATGAACACACAGGTAAGACAGAACATAATCAGCAATGCACCTTATCTTCAACTCGAATGCTGACAACAAACAGCTACAATTCCAGGGCACCTTGCAAGTCACTTGAGTGCAGCCCCAAGCTCCCACCTGGTAACACACACAGCTCCCTCTCAACCCCAGCAGAGCCGGGTTTTTTGCCCAGGTCTCGCTGCCCTATGTCCGAGCCGCCCCTCACACCATTTCTACCCTTTGCTGAGCGGTAGTCCAGGTACCTTCTCGGTGTTCTTCTTGTCGTACTGCAGGTAACGAGACTGCACCGTTCTTCCTCCTGGAAAAGGGGTAAAGACAACTCAGCTGGGCCCGACAGGTCGGATGCTCCTCACCCCTCAGCCGGCTCGGATCTCCCCCCTCAGCCGGCTCGGATCCCTCGCCCTCAAGAGGGTTGGATCAACCCCCTCGAATGGCTCGAATCCCCCTCCTCAGCCAGCTTGGATCAACCCCCTCAGTCGGGTCGAGGTTCCCCCCTCAGCCAGCTCGGATCCCCCCTCACCTCACACGCCTACCTTTCCGCTTAGCTACAGGCCCTTGTCCGCCCGCCGCCGCGGTGCCGGGGTCTCTCCTGTGCGCAGACATCCCGCCAAGGCAGTAGCGGGAGAGCGAAGGGATCGGGCGGAGGTCCCTCAGCCCTAAGCCGCCTCAGCCGCCATCGCATTTGAACCAACGCGCCCGCGCAGCACCGCCCTGGGTGGCGGCGGCAGAGCGCCCCCTGGCGGCGCGGAGGGCTGAAACGAGCCACCTCAGCGTGAGGCGTCGCACCCGGCGGCTGCTGCCCTCCGGGTTAAATGAGGGTCTGGCAGTTCCTGCCTGGGCCCGAAAGCCTTTTTTCCCTCAGGCCTTTGGTGGCCGCTCTCTGCAACGTCAGCTGGTGGAACCCAGTTTCTGGGCTCCTCAGGACAAGAAAGACAAGGAGCTGCTGGAGAGGGTCCAGCAGAGGCAACGAAGGTGATGAGGGGTCTGGAGCATCTCTCTGATGAGGAGAAACTGTGGGAGGTGGGCCTGGTTAGTTTAGAGAGCAGAAGACTGAGAGGGGATCTCATTAATTCATATAAATATCTCCTCGGTGGATGGCAAGATGACGGTGCCAGACTTTGTTCAGTGGTGCCCAGCGACTGGATGAGGAGCAACGGCCATAAAATAAACCACAAGAAGTTCCACCTCAACATGAGGAAGAACTTCTTTCCATAGAGGTGGCAGAGCGCTGGAACAGCTGCCCAGGGAAGGCGTGGAGTCTCCCTCTCTGGAGATATTCCCAACCCACCTGGACGTGCTCCTGTGTCACCTGCTCCAGGTGACCCTGCCTGGGCAGGGCGGGGGTTGGACCGGGCAATCTGCAGAGGTCCCTTCCAATCCTAAACACTCTGTGATTCAGTGAACCCAAGCACACTATGCTCGGGAGCTTCTGCGCTGCCCCAGCGCTGTCACACATCGAGCAGCAGCCACTCCCCCAGTGGGAGCTCTCACAGCGCCGGGCGGCGACGCTCCCAGCCCAGGTTCTTGAGTTTTGACGGGAATCCGCCCACTGCCGCTGACAGACAGATGGCGAGACAGACACACAGACAGCACCTGGCTCCCGCTGCCCAGCTGTGCCAGGAGCCTCGGGCGGTGGAATAACCCTGGTCGGGTGTCGAACCCGCGGTCCCGCGGTCCCACGAACACACTCCACCCCCCCACCCCCGGCCCTTAAGCGAGGCGGCGCGTGCGCGATTCGCACACGGCTCTGAATGGGCGCGCCCCCCCCCCCACCCGGAAGTGGCGCGCGCGGGGCCTGTGGCTGCGGTGGGGCTGGTGCGTCCGCGCTTCGACACCGGCGCAGGTAACGGGCTCAGCGAGCCTCCTCCTTCCGTCCTCCCGGTCTCCTCTGCCTCCTCCTTCTTCACTACGGGCGACTTAGCGCTGCGGTGGCGGCAGCAGGGATCGCTATGGAGCGGCCGGGGCAGTCCCGAGGGGGTGTGCGGGGGTCGGTGCCTTGGGGCAGTTCCGAGGGGGTACCTGCGGGTCGGTGCCAGGCGGGTGGAGATATGGGTTGGTTCTGAGGGGCTGTGCGGGAGTGGGTTCCGACGGGGTGTCCGAGGGTCCGTTCTGAAAAGCTATGCGGGGATCGGTGCCTTGGGGCAGTTCCGAGGGGGTGTCTGGGGTCTGTTCTCGTGGGATATCTGGGGGTCGGTGCCAAACCGGGGAGAGCCGCAGGTCTCCTGCGCAGCCTTCCGGAGCTCGGGGCCGGAGCGATTCCCTGGGACGCCCCCGGAGCGGATCCCGTCGGGGCTGGTGCCGTGCCCGGGTGCGGGGCTGCACCGTGCGGGGGCACATGCGGTGCTGCTGGACCCGCTCTGCATCTGCCGTGCCCGAGGAGCCGGAGGTGCTCCGGGGAAGGGATGTTCCTGATGCCAGACTGTGCCTCCCGTCTCCGGGGCAGACCCGGCCGCTGAGCCGGGCACGGTGTTAACTTCCACCTCCTGTTCCTCCCATCTTTCAAACACACAGCCTTCTGCTTTTTCGCCTCTGACTCTCGGTATGAACAGCCTGTAATATCTCAGCATCTTTCAAATGTTTCGTTAAAACTCTCAGAGCTCTTTTTTGTTTGTGTTGGTTTCGGGCAGCTGTTTTGACAGCGCTGCTGCCGTGCTGGGGTTGTGCTTTATCGTGGTGACCATCGTTGCCCAGTTGATTCATGCCTCTAGCTCTGTGTATGTCGGTAGTGCTCGGGCTTTTTGGTAAGCTTGGTTTTGCAATCTCTGGAAAGTAAAACTTTCGCAAGTTGAGAACATCCTTTGTTACATGTTTCTAGATTAAAAGTAGCACACTACTACCCTGACTCATGACTCTCCTGACCATAAAGTTGACATAGGGGTGTGTGATCCTAATGTAAGATGACTTCCCAGTGTCATTTTTAACCTTGTTTTCTACTACTCCTTAAATATTTTGGCAAAATGTTTACCCAACTTTATTTGCAAGTCCCATTTGTGAAAAGTGAGAGGCCCTTTGGATGCAAATGAGCTCAGTATTCTTTGATTTCACTTCGTGGAAATGGGTGGCAGTGGAGCAAAAGGGCTGGAGATGGTCTCAGGCTTCCGGCAGATGCAGTTAGCCTTTCAGAGATGTCATCAGCATCCTCCCATGTTACTCCTAGAGGTGGATTGGTATCGGAGTGTCTGTCAAGCTGTTTGCAAATAGGAGTTTGTCATGGGTAATTAGGAACTTTGATTTCAGACCCGGTAGCTGGAATCCATGGCTGAAGAACTTGACCTAAAGTAACAGTGTGAGGTAACCCTGCATTCTGGTTTGGGATGCAGGTGTCACATTCATCAGGTTTTAGTAGGCCCTCAGTGTCTCACTCAGAATCTTGTCAGGAGCAAATCCATTTAATGCAGGGGAAGCAGTTTGGGGAACTTTTAATGCATATTCATATTATTGTCAAGATGAATTTTGGCTTTTTTTAGAAAAGAAGTAATCTTGATTATTTTGTCTTTGAACTATGATGAGGTTCTCTATCTCTACATTTAAAGTCTGATATCTTGGTTTTCAGGATGATACATCTAAGGCCACTTCCTCAGTCTTTAGTCTTATTAGCGTAAGTAAGGATTTACTGCAGTAATGTAAAGGAACTGCGTTTGTAGAACTATACAGCTTTAGTTGGTTGGGGTTTGGGTTTTTTTTTTTAACCCTACTTGAACGTTTGTCTCAACAAAAAGCTTTTCCAGAAGTTGGATGTTGCGGCTTCTGCGGTGACAGGCAGCTGTTTGCACAAACACGGTGGGAAGATTCCCAGCTCTGGGTTTTTGGTGGAAAACACTTACAGGACTGAATAATTGAGGAAGAGTAAATGCAGCTGATGAAAAATTTAAATGAGCTCCACCTAGAGAGCAATGCTTTGTACAGGCAGAGTTTTCTGACCACTAGTGATTCAAACATTAGACTTCTTGAATAATTCCATGTCTGAATAACTGTTTGACTCACATGCACGTAGTTCAGTGTGGCCTTTGCCAGCTAGAAGGTCAAAAGGCAGCATTTGCATATCCTAGGCATTAAAAAAGGAAAAATTCCTAAGAAACGCAACAGTATTGGCTGTCCCAACAGCCAAGGGAAGGAGTGAAAAATTCTGATTCAACAAAAAGGTTGTGGTTCAGAACTTTTTTTTTTTTTTGCAAGTTTGAAGGCTGAAGGAGTTTATCACATTTCTAAGAAACAAGGCCTGTTTATGCAAATACCAAGGAGAAATAAAGCCTGGGATGCTGATAAGAATTTATATTTTTAATAGAAAGGACTAGAAATTTCTTTATTTCAGAAAATGAAAATTCAGAGATTTTCTCTCTAGTATATTGTGTTTTCTTGCTGTATCAAGTGACTTAAGTGTGGCTTGTGGGGTTCCTTTTATTGAGGCTTTATTGTATTGTGTGTCTCTGATTACCAAATGAAACTCAATGCAGACTCTAAAAAAATCTACTCTTCCTTTAAAGACCAAGAATATTTTACAATAAAAGTGTTTTTAAAGGTATTTTTGACATGTGTATGTTCTGTTCACATGAAAGTTCAACCCAAAGTTTCTTTAAAAAGTTTCTCATCAGTGTAAATGCAGCATTAGAACAGTGAAATTTTGACTTCCTTTGTTGACAGCTGTAATGCTGTTAAGGATAAAATTAAGAAAGCTACAAAAGGTGGTAGAATAGTCTCCAAGATTCTTTTGGTTTATGTTCTTTACCTCTAAGTAAAGTTGTTTTGCCTTCATTCCTGTTTCCTCAACAGGCCCATGTTTTCATTCCCTCTGAATCATACTTACGTGTACATCTGTAACTCTGACATTGCACTTTTTATAAGGTAGTAACATGTCATAAATAGACCTTTAATATCACTGTAAAGCCTGATAAGGCATCCTTGTCTTCAGGTGAGGTTGTGCATTGAGTCACTCGGAGGAAGGTCTCTGTACCTGGGGGGGTTTGAGGGTGTGAGTTGGGATCTCTCTGCAGGGAGCAGGTAACTGAGGAGGAACTGCCTGTACCAAAGGTGATTTCTCTGCCTTTTTCCTATGTTATACATAGCAGCCCAGCTTCTCCTTTGCCAGGCACTCTGGGGCAGTAAGTTCCGTACCAGGGTTGATTACAAAGAGTAGTTACAAATGTGTTGTAATTTTGCATGTTCCATTCAGAACTCCTCCCTTTGGAGTAGAAAAAGCCAAGGGCTTTTAGTTAAAAAAGCCCCAAGGGTGTAAAATTTAGTCCAGTGGAATTTTTTGTAACCAAAAAGGAAACCAAGGAAAGCCTTGAAGTGTTTTTACTAAGCAATATTCAGGTAATCTACAAACGCCTGGAATATCGGGGGAAATTAAAATTAATTTTGCTTAACTAACAGCACCTTCTGTCCCTATGACATGAGGTAGGACAAGAGTCTTTGCTTTACCTGCACTGCATAGTTATTTGTGGAAATTTTAAGGTGTCTCTGCAGCCTGTTTTGCTGGAAATTCCTTGCTTTGGAAATCAAGGATGGGTAATAAATGGATATTTTTGAAATTGCTAAATGTTTTCAATTTGATCAGACAGAGCAGCCTCTTTTGGGGATGGTCATTGGCAATTCTGGTGTTTAAGAATATCAGAGGTCAAGTACCTGTGATCCATTTCTCCTTCTGTGTTGAAAATTACTTGGTGAACAATGGGAGAAGCTTGAACCTTTCCATTTGAGGAAGCTTGAACCTTTCCAGCACTGAAAATGGGAAGAACTGGAATATTATAAAGTTCATCCTCAACAATTTTGCTGTAATGGTAGCTTTCCCTTTTTAGCTTCACTGTGATTCACTGACTAAATATGTGGCTTCAAAATATGGCCTTATTTAAACTAAACAGATCCCCTGTGCTGATCTGCTGTGTTATGAAGTGAACAGTGTTGGCTTATTAAAAAATTCATTGGAGTCTTGAAAACCCTTATAAAATACCATCAAAATTATCATATAGAATTGGAATGTTTGGTTTTTCTATTAAAATTGTCTGAGCAAAAAGTAAAGCTACAGATTTTTATCCTCCGTGCGTTGGAAAGGGGTTTCTTGTAAGAAAGAGTATTGAAAGAAGTTGAGGTAACTGCAGAATTTCCATCTACAGACAGAACCAAGCAGAGGTGGTTGGGCTGCAGGGTTTGCATGGTTTCAGTATTACCTTCTCTCTTGTATTTCTGCTTTTCTCCCAGTATTCTCTGCCTGTGCTTGTGCTTCTTTGATGAGCCAATCACACTGAATAATTATTTCAATTGCTTAAAATTTCTCCCCATAAAATTAGAAGGAATCATTGTAATCGTATCTTCAGACCATTCTGGACATAAATGAGAGGATGGTACCTAATTAACTTTTCTAATTGTGAGGCCCATTTGTAACTGAGGACTGGCTGATTTTTCCAAAATGAACTTTGGCAACTAGACCTTGTGGTCAGTTAAGTTTTTGCAGTGCAGTTTAACCTTCTGGTGACATTTATGTCTTATGTTTGCCTGAGTTTGTTTGGCTTCAAATTCCACCCATGTTGTGGCTTTGTCCTCCAGACTGATGCTTGTACCAAACTCCAGGTCCCATGCAGCGACTGACTCTGATAACAGACTCCTCTGTGCACTCCTTACAGACGAGGCTTGGAAAGTATTTGGCTCTAAGGAGGGCATTTTCTAACAGGTTTTTCTGTTGTTGTTTCTGCTCTTATCTCAGCTTTTAATTGAATTTTGGATTTATCCTAGATGCTGTATTGGTCACATATCTTCTGAGTAAAAGGGTAGGATGGCTGCCTAACGAAATATTAATTTATGGTTATCTGGGAATCATATTCCCTGTCATGCTTGTGGTGTTACATTAGAACACTGTTTGAATGATTGCTTGCTTGCTATGGTTTTCAGGCCTATTTCAGGATAACTTCTATCCCTCTCATACGGATTGTTTCTTGGATAAATTTGTTGTTATGTATCTGTAAACTGAGTTGAAATTTGTTTAGCATTTATTTCCTTGCTCCTGTACGACTGACCTATATAATTGATTTAACTTCTTGATTACTTGCTGCCTTCTCAATATCTCTTTATCAGTAACTCTTTTCTTTCTTTTAGAACCATCATGAAAATGTTTACTTTGATGCCAGAAATGTAACTTCACTAGGAGCTAATCCTCCAGTTACTTGAAGATACTCTGTCCTTAGCTGAATACTGGAACTCATTAGGTAATCAACTTAAAATCTATTCACTGAATGCTCTTCTGCTTTTATACTCTAGTTTGTGGCTTGAAATATTGTTTAGTGTGAAGCTCGAGGTCTGTCTCTTTTAGAGCAGTATTGTCATCAAATAAGTTTGATATTCTCACTAAGGAAATCACAAGTAGCTGCAGACCAGCAGGTTTTCCTCAAACCTCTGTAATGATTAGACATTCTCAGACAGAAGAATTGAATTTTCCAGTTGTACACACCTGGGCAGACCCTCCCAGCTGTCACATTGCTGCTGGCTGTAAGGGCCCTGAGTTTGTCACTTGCAGAGCAGTGGCATCTGCATTCTGGTTTCCTCTTTCCAAAGTATGAGCTGAGATCTTGAGCAATGTACCACATTCTGGTGGCTGACATGAGGCAAGGTTAGGAAATGTGTGTTAGTAAAGTCACGGGTCAGCACCAAGGTCCAGCTCTTCTGTGGTGGCAAGAAGCTGCTGCCACGTTTTTTAGGGAGCTGTTTTGGCCAAAATGCTTACTGAGGGCACTTCCTCTATCTTACCAGACTGTATGTCTGAAACTAATTGCTGGGGGGTGGAAAAAGGAAGTCTGCAAAAGGCTGTCCCCCTTGAACTGAGTGACTCGAGAGGAAAATGTTCACTGTTGTTCTACTTTTCTATCTGAGCTCCAGATTGATCTTCCCCATGAGGAGTAGATTCTACTGTATGTCAAGGTCTGAGCTTTTATAGATTAAGAAAGCTTAACACTTGCACTTCACAGATACTTCAGACTTATTTGCTGGTCAGTGATAATTACAGGAAATGAGGAAGGGACTTGGAGCTCGCTGCTCCAGCCTTCTGTATGACCAGCACTTGCAATCAGCCCTCCTTAATGAACAAAGAATGAAATTTAATGTGGAAAAAACATTCTTGGGTGGATCACACCATTTGGTCAGAGATGTGTTGTGGTTTGCCTTGCCTTCTGTGGCTTGCTCAGCCTTCCTTTTGATGAGTAGCCACTAAAAACGATCCAGCTTATCTAACAGTGACTTCTGTGAGCTCTGTGTTCCCTTAAACACAACTCCCTTCTTAGAGGCTGTTCATGAGGCACAACTATGTCATATGTTCTGTGAAGTGATTCATTACTTGCAGTGGAAGTGGCAGCTTAAATACCTCCAACTCTGCTGATTTTAATTTGAAATGATTACTCTCTGTGGCCTTGTACAAGCTCCTGTGCAGTTGTTTAGTGGCAAAAAGTAACTTCTTTGGCATTTCTCTGCCTCTTTCCTCTTTCTTTTTTTTTTGTCTTTAATGTATTTGGCATGTAAGTGTATAATTATAACACTTTGTTCTTGAAACAAAAATTGAACTGCTATTCTGGATATGAAGCTTTACAGACTTAAAACAAAGGGGTACTTTATTATCCTTCTCCTTTTAGTACCCCTTGATGAGCAAATAAAGTGTTGAGCTAAAGCAATGCGAGTAAACTTAGTCCTGGTGATGTGGAGGCACTGAATTTCGGGTGAGAGAAAAATCATTGGAAAAGGCAGAGGCAGTAACTGAGTCTGGAGACTTCTAACTTAACAGTGAGGAAGAAGTTGATTCTGAGGCTGTTGATCGGCTAGTTGATAGGAGTTAGATGTCTGGCCTGCACTGAGGCTGAAAGGAGCAAAAAGCAATCACACAAAATGATTTTTAGAGACTCATGGATGAGGTTCCTAAACCCACTGAAGGTGGAGTTGATGTGATGGGGTATAAAGGCCTGTGAATTAAGTGGGTTATTTCAGATCTTGTTTACTGCTGAAAAGTAGTTGCAATAAGACTAGTTTTACTTTGTTGCCTAAAATGGAAGATAAAAGGCAGGTTCAGACCTTTCTTTAGCAAGGATGTGGTTCACAAATGAGTCTGTGTAAGTGATGTGTGTCCAAGAAATCTCTACAGTGTGTCGGAGGGAGCCGAGCTCTGCTCAGCTCTGGGCTCTGATTCCTTCAAGATGAGTGGGATGTCTTGTGCCTCCCATGAAAAGAGGTTAACTGGGGGAAAAGAGGAAAAAAAAAAAAAAAAGGGTGGATCTCTGTCAGAACCATCTTCCTCCTTGCACCCATGCACTGATCCCTCTGCCATAGGTCGTGGCTGCTCTGAACTGTCACTGCTGAATTAGGAAGTGACCACAAACCCTCTTGCTACATCACGTTGCTTGTGCAGCTTTAAGGGAGAGTTTATGTGGGAGAGCAGATGAATGTTCGTGTAGCCATACAGTGAACCAGGACAGGGAAAGTGTCTGGGTTAAAACTAACCTGGGCAAACAAGGAAGTTTTAATTTGGATGTATATCCTGGTTGATTTTGCTTTGGCTGTATGAATGCTTTTGCTGCCAGAACAGGGAAGAAGGGGTGGCATGGAATAAAGGAAAAGTAAAGGAGGATAAGTATTGTGACAGTTATCCATTCCATGGCATATGTCAAACAGGCTGCTTGGAATAATATTACTGATGTGCACAGATAGTGCATTTGCTTTTTAATAATTTAATTATGTAATAATTGTATTCTCATCCTCCAGAAAATACCTAGTACCTCTTGTACACACTTTTTAACACCTGATTTTTTCATTCTTCCTTTTTCTTTTTTCAGACAATGGGCACTGCATACTAAGCAGGGGTGGAAGACTGAAGCCCATTTGGGGACAGAATGAGTTTAAAAGATGCTGATAGTGCAGTTTGCCAGGCAAAGGCAGCCTATAACCTTCAGATTTACCCCCAACTCTCAACAGAAAGTGCTCCCTGCTGCAAAGTGACAGCAACCAAGGACAGCACATCATCAGATGTCATCAAGGACGTGATCAGCATCTTAAACTTGGATGTCTCCAAACATTATGTGCTTGTGGAGGTGAAAGAATCTGGAGGAGAGGAATGGGTACTTGATATAAATGATTCTCCTGTTCACAGGGTTTTGCTTTGGCCTCGTCGTGCTCAGGACGAGCATCCACAGAAGGATGGCTACTACTTTCTCTTGCAAGAGAGGAACACTGATGGGACCATCAAGTATGTGCAGATGCAGTTGCTCTCCAAGGAGACGGACGCTCGGAGGTTGGTGGAACGGGGTTTTCTTCCGTGGCACCAGGAGGACTTTGACGACTTGTGCAATCTCCCTAACCTGACAGAGACAACACTCCTGGAGAATCTCAAATGCCGCTTCTTAAAGCACCGAATTTACACTTATGCAGGAAGTATCCTGATTGCAATTAACCCCTTCAAGTTCCTGCCCATCTACAATCCCAAATATGTCAAGATGTACGAGAATCATCAGCTGGGGAAGTTGGAGCCTCATATTTTTGCCATTGCCGATGTGGCCTATCACACAATGCTTAAAAAACATGTGAATCAGTGCATTGTTATATCAGGTGAAAGCGGATCTGGGAAAACCCAAAGCACAAACTTTTTAATTCACTGTCTCACGGCTCTGAGCCAGAAAGGGTACGCCAGTGGTGTGGAGAGAACCATCCTGGGAGCTGGACCAGTCTTGGAGGTAAAGCTGTGCTCAAACTGCCTTCTGTGAAAATTAGGGTTTGAAAACTTCAAATAACTGCTGCTGAATGTTGCTCTTGAGTCACCCACTTGGTTTAGGCTTAAAATGTCACTGGTTTTAGGCTTGTCACTTGGTTTAGGCTTAAATGTCACTGGGCTGCCGTGGTGTTTGGCAGTGTTACCCAACTGCTTCTAATTGATTTTCCTTAACTCATCCTTCTGTTCAGTTGACTTCCTGTTGCTTGTAATTTATATGTGACTTATTTCCACCACTAAACACTCATATTCTGGGACACAGGTTACCTGTGTTTTCCATCTGAAAGCTTTGATGGCATTTGAATAGAATTGTCAGCAAATGTTTTTATAAAGATTGTTCCACTGAAACACCAAGTGCTTAGTGTGATCCTGCCTTTGTGTGCGAGCATGTCCTGCAGCATTTTTCTGAACTCACTTTTTGAGGGATTTATTTCCTTTCTACAGCTGTTTGGAAGACAGCATCATTGTCAGTTGAGGAGAAAGCGGGATAGTGTTTAGGCTTTTAATTATTACAGCATTTCCGAAAGAAAGCAAAACTAAACACGTGAGAAGAGAGGGCACAGCTGGTATTGCATTAGGTAACAGCAGGACAAACTTTAACTGATCTCCTTAGGCTTCAGCCTCTCCCTTTTATTCTCTAAAAGGAAAAACGCTGGAAGTGTGGATGGATGTAAAGGTCAACCCTAATAAAATCTTCAACAGCAAAGAGCTTGAATGCAGCCGTTGTCATTTTTGGGTTTAAATAGTTTCAAATGTAACAGCACTCTCATAAAAAGAAGTTTAAGCTTTTTTTAGAGCTTTTCTGTAAAGAATAAGGAATATGTGCAAGTTCTTTTTTGCCTTGCTTTCTGCTGCTTGAAAGAAGAAGTAAAATTGAGGCTTGTTGGTTGCTGGAGTCCACGTTTACAGTTTTAACCAGAAAACAGGAAGGGGTCACTGTGGAAAGCCCTGTTTGATCAGCTGATCTTGCTGCCTTTGATAAATTTAACTGTTTCATATCCTCCTCTGCAGACATGATACAGCTGTGTCAAACTAGGCAGAGATGTAAAACCCTGTGTGCCTGTTTGTCTGCTCAGAGTTCAAAACTCAAATTCCTAACTTTGGCGGAGCCACAGGTCAGGGTTGTGTTTATCTGGGAATGTTCATGAGGAGATACTTGTGATTTTGTACTCTAAGATTGTTGTCTTAAGTACCACAACTACTTCAGACTTCCACTGAGCACTTAGGAATGATTTTCGTGAGAAAATAGTCTTGTTAGCTGGAAATCTGATGACTGATTGAAAGCTTAGCTTGCAGACTTGCCAGATAGACTCTAGCATGTTGTCTAAAATGAAATTCTCAGAAATTTCTTGATCTGCTTCTCTGAGGGTGTTTGTCAGTCAGAGTTGATTCAGTGTAAGCCTGTCCTCCCAAATATTCCAAAAGATAAGAGATTTTGACAACTAAATGTAAAAAATAGAAACATCTGAATCCTAAAATATCTTTCAGAATTGAATATATATTCATGTAAATCCAGAGTGCATTAAAAAGTGTCACTATGGTGGGTTTAGAACATAAGAGGTGAAATCCAGTCACCCTGATTGGATTCAGCAGAGTGGATTCAGCTGACAGTCAAGTTCCATGTTTCCCAGTCCAGTCACTAAGCTTAATTTAAAAAAAAAAAAGTCGAACCTTAGTCCTAGGGAGGGATGCACAGAAAGCTTATATTGCTTTGTGGAAGTTACTGCAGACTCCTGCCAGAGTTGGTCACGTCTAAATCCATCCGTGGTGACTCACTTTGGGGTTTTACTGAAGGGAACTAAAGTGCTACAAGGGAATTTTTCTTACATGGATGTTTTGGGGGATTTTTTGCGTTGTGCCTAAACTATTTGAGAATGTTCTGTTTGATTTTGAAGTTTTATTCTGAGTCCTCATCAAAGTTGAACATGTACTCTTGACTAAAAACCTTCATGATGTAGAAGTGGGTTGCGTTTTGGGTGAGAGCTTCCTCATTTTAGTGGTGTAAAAATGTGTCTGTTTCTAAGCTGACCTTCTGTAAAAGTTCAAGGGGTTAAAGCACAGAGGGGTGAGCACAATTAGGGTGGTGTGGAGGTGGATTCATAATTTTATTATCGCATGCTTAGGGAACTTGGAAACATTTTTTACTGTTTCTGTGTTGGCTCATTAATCTGTATTCAAATCTCTAAGTGATTTACAGATGAACTGTTGTTAATATTTTAGCTCCTTGCTCACAATTTCTAGGCTTTGAAGGATGGAGTTATAGCTGTACCAGGAAAGGAGATTTGACATCAAATGATGCTTGATATTACCTCAAACATCTGGGAAACGAAAGACATGATACTGAGCCGGTGTAGTTAAAAAATTAAATCTGGTATCAGCACAAGTGCTGTCACATGGGCTCGGGAGAGGAAGGTGGTCATGGGTCAGCTCTGAGCCTCAGATGCTTCCTGCTCAGTCTCCGCTCTTTCTAAGGTTCCTGGTTGAGGATCTAATAAGCAGAGCTCAATTCCAATAATTCTGATTACACTTGGCACTGTTCGTAGCTTTCTAGAGAAGAGGAATCAAAGGCTGGGTCCTTCCATGGTGCAGTGATGCTTCAGCACAGCCCCAAGCTGTGGTTTATGCTGATTTTTAACAGTTCAGGAGACATTCAGTTGCTTTAACTCTCAGATTATGCTGTGGGTTTTGTTTTGTTTGTTTGTTTTTTTAATTATATCTCCAGGATAAGGGAGATCATCTCTGGTGAAGAGCAATTTCTTTAAAACCAGTGGGAAGATAAATATAAGCTCCTTTTTAAGATACTCCTAACTTTTTCATCCTCTTCTAAATCTAGTAATTAAAATATAGTTCCCTGACTTGGAGTTTTGCCTTCTTGTATTGACTGTTAAGTTCAATTTACTTAGGATTGGAATCCTAAAAAGGAATTTATATTTGGGAACTATTATTTGGGTCAAATTGGGACTAGTGAATCAAAGCTTTGTTTATTTTATCAACTCTCAAACAAGAGAATCGAACCTTTCCATATACACTGAAGAAGTTTCCAATAAACTTATATTTTCCTTTCATCAGGGAAAAATGTCTTAACTGCATGTTTTGGCTATAAAATGCACAGTGTGCAATGTAAGACTGAATTTATTTTGGAAACCTAAATTTAACTTATTCTTCAAGCCAATTAATTTAATAAAGTGGCAGAGAATTGAGCAAGGGGATGGGAGCATGTGGTGAGGGAACAGAGGGAATTGGAGCCTTTTCTTCTGGCAGCAGAGCTCTTCTTGACTTGTCTGTCCTTAATTGTAGCCCTCAGTATCTTGGGTTTATTACAGAATTCCAGTTACTTTTTGAGTGTGCTGGAAGTTCATTTCCCTCTGAAATGGGAGTTGAGGAGAGGTGGGACAGATACTGGGGGAATCCTAATTTTTCCTGTATTATGTGGAAAATCATTGCTTGTTCCCATTTGGATGTGTTCTTGAAGATTTCCTAATACCACTGAACCATTCTTTGGGAAGAATTAAGGCCCAAATAAAATGAAAAGTCCAACAGGAAGCATTCATTAAGTGGTCTTCTAAAGGAGAATTTTTATTGACAGCGTAAGCAGGTGGGGAGGGATCAGATTTTCTAGAACTCACCGCAATAAAAAAACTTATCAAATTTAACTGTAGAAAGTTTTATGCCTTACAGTTCTGTGGAAATCACAGTGAAGCCATTTGTAGCTCTGTTTTCCTTATGACATTCCCATTGTGCTAGTGGCTTTGGGATAAGATGGACTGAAGCTTCAACTCCGGTTTTCATTTGTATTTGCCATCAAAGCCTGTACATCCATTTTGTAGGTGTAGCCTGTTCTATTCCAGGGAAAGTGGTTGTTTTAAACATTTATCTGCATCTGTTTGTTTAAGAATCATAATCAGAGGAGGAATGGAACTTCCTTTTTCCATTTGCTTAGATGTTACTTGATTTTTTTGGTAAAAATGCATTGTTGCTGCTTTTCCCTGCTGCACACAACTCCTGGGGAAAAAAATCACCTGGTCGTTTTTACTCTTACCATGCTTGGAGTTCCCTGGAACATCCCACAGCACATGGAATTGCAAAATGACCCTGAACACTGGGTGAGTGCATACTTCACAGCATGGTTGTAAAGACCACTGTTAAACCAAGCTCAACTCCAAAGTAATTTCCTCTTCCAGGGTGTGGAATTTGAGTCTTCCATGTCATTTGGCACGTGGGAAGATGGGGCTGTGCAGTGGTGGCTCTGTCTGTGATTTACATGGAAACTCCAGTAGCTTTTTCAGATTTTGGCAATTCTTAGGAATTAATACAATGAGATTTTTAGTTGTGTTCCTGTGTTAGGAGGGAGCACGTGTGTGGCTTGGTTTGGGGTGGGGTTTTTTACAACAAATAAAGGGAGAATTTGATGTTTTTCTGAATACTTTTAAATCTGTCACTGCTGTAGGAGTTTTGAGTGTCAGATCCACTTTATGCCTCTGTCATGGTTTGAGATACCCCAAAATCCAGTTCTCTAGTCCAAGCCCCCTTGCACATCTCAACCTAATGTGAGATGGGTTTTCCAGACAAAACACGCCAGACTCAGAATGGGGGAAAGGGAATATATTACAATGACTGTACAAATAAATATTATAATACATTATACACACAATCACAACTATCTCTACCATGACATACAGTATTTACAATGGATCAGATCTCTTCTCCCCTCCAAATAAAGGTCCAGGAGGGAAGAAGGACAGATCCCTTCTTCAGAGCAGCAATGTCTCTAAGGCAGCAGGCTCTCTCTCTCTTCTTTTTCTTGCAGCAGCTCATAGCTGGATCTCTGCCAGCACATACGATGGGGAAATCCAAGTCCCCTCGGCCACTCGTCTTTCCAAACGAGGGGTCTTCCATGGGCTGCGTTTCCCGGGACAAGGGCACTATCACCACGTCATATCACGAAGCTCAGGGGTCTTCGCGACGGTCCTTATCTTCAGGGGACTCAGCCCCTTGCAGAGCTCCTGTGCCCTGCCTCAAAGATGGCTGCGAGCTTCTTTGTAGCTTGCAGCAAGGGAGGGCCTCAAGGTCAACCTTCACACACCGTCCTGGCTAAGCTCTCAGGACGACTGAGCTTCTTAGCTCCTATACTCCATCTAGGACTTCTAGTCAGTAAGAGTCTACCACCCCGACTAAAGAGGGGTCTCAAAGGAGTCTGGGGTCTTTTGGTTCAGTTCTTACCCCAGCTCTCTCTGTAGAGCTAGTTCTGCTCTCATCTGCTGCTGTTGGCTCTCTCTTGGCTCCCTGTCTCCTTCCAGGAGTCCTCTCTGCAGTGCATGCCATTTGCTGTTTAGTTCAGTTCTTATCTGTTCTGGCTCTCTGCCACCTTCTCCGGCCAGTGTTGCTTCTGCTGCCGCTGTTGTTGCTCTGTCTCCGCTGCCCACGGTGGAGAAAACATCTCCCGGCATAACTACAGGCACCTAGCCCAGCTTTATGCTGCTCCAGGTCCCTGCAGCTCTGCTGGGGGCTGGGGGGCCAAAGCCCCCCTGTGGGGCTCTGAGCCCCTTCCTCGTGGCTCTACAACATGACCACCTCTCCTCCAACAACCAAACAACAACTCTTCTCTTCCGGTCTGGTTGTGGTATGTTTACATTTCGCAGGAGTGCCCATTGGACAAAACTTCAAAACTTTCAGGGGTTTCCACCCCTTGGGGTTTTACCATTTTTCTTAGCCTCTAGGGGAAAACAAGGTCCAAACCACTACAGCCTCTTGCATTCCAGGCTAAGAAGATGGATTGGATGACTTTCTGCCTCCTGGAATAGGCTGTCCCAGCTCTGATTCCCACTGCCCTTGCTCTGCTATTTTTGACTCACCCTCTTTTTATGTAGCTGGTGTTGTGCATTGGAATCATTTTGTTTTAATTTTTTGGGTTTATCTGTCTCCATTGACTCACAAGGGAAAACAGTGTATGAATTTGCTTGTATAAAGGATTTATTTCTCCTTACCGGAGATTCTCTTGTCCCCTCACATCTTCTGAATTTATTTTGTACTCACCAAGGTATATGGAAGGACATGGTAACAGTGATTAGTGATTAGAGTTAAAAGTTAAATGTAACAAAAAAAATATTCTCTACCCAAAATGTTAACTGACTTGGAATGTAGAACGTTGTAGATGTTAAAGGCTCTTCTGAGGAAAGCATTCATGAAAACTTTCCTAAAAACTGTTAATATTAGATCAGCTTTTAAGAATTTGCTGTGTGCTTTGACCAAATACCAGACACATGAGATCATAAGAGCCTTTAGTTTTAAACTGTATTCATTGCTTACATGAGTAATCACTAAGAAAAGTTTGTCAGGAAGCCCATGTTATGGGGTTTCATAACTCTATAATGCCAAAAATTAGTTCTTACAAAATAATGTGGCAAATGTAGCTGTACTGTGGTTTGGTTTCTTGGATATAACCAGTGAACTGGTGGTTAACTGGTGGCTTAGGTTAGAAAACTTTAGAAAAAGAGGTTTTTGTGAGATCAATTTGCAAGTCCATTATTCCGCAGTCTGGCAAAGCTCACTCCAACAGATTTCCCAAGGCACAGAATGGGAAGTTGGACGGTGTTTGTCAGAGAGCCAGAGCTGAGCCACCGTCCTGGAGAGGAAGAGGGGTTTGATTTACAGAGCTGTGTTCATGTCACAGGACTTTCACTTCTGGTTTGGTCCCTGTGAGGAGTTGATCTGGATTTTATGCACATACTAATATGCATGTGCATGCAAGATGGGCTTTGAAAAGAGAAATCTGGGTGATACTTTGGATAGAAGCTACAAAAAAATACTGATGGCCGGGCAATGCTTACTTTGAAAAATCTGAGTGAGGGTGCTGTTGGCATTGTGAGATATGTAGTATGGTCTTGGAAAATCCAGAGGCTGAGCTCAGCTATCTGGGAGGTGCTGGATACAAATCCTCTCCCTCCAGCCATAGGTAAGCACTTCTGCATACAAATCCTGTCTCTTCAGCCACTGCTGGACACAAATCCTCTCTCTCCAGAAACCCTTCTGCAGTTACAGCACAGTCCACCTGCACAGGAAGAGCTCCTTTAGCTTAGTCCTTTAGGTCAAAAATAACAGTTGCCTTAAGAATTATGGACATTCTCCCAGTTTATAAGAAGTTTCTCAGGCTCTCTGAACATGAGACAGCCTGTGGCAAAAATCTTGCAAGAGATAGAAAGATAGAAAGCTGGGAGAATCTGTTTGGGAATTAGTGATCCTGGAGTCCCACTGCAGTATGGCTGCAACCCTTAACGTGCTTTGGAAAAAAAGCCCCAAAACCAAAAGAGAAGGGAAGGCTTTCAATATACAAATAATATGATATGTATGTAGGGAAATAGAACATAATTGGGCAGTTTTGTGTATAAACAGCTCAGTTCTATGTTGTCTACAGTCCTTTTCCCTCCTACTCGGGTTGTGTGTGTGTGGAGGAAGAGGGTGGCACTTCTGTGCAGTCATTCCCTGAATGTTCTATATTAGGGAGGAGGATTTCCTAATGGAGGCTTTAATTACTTGGAGCTTTAAGAGGAAGTATCTGCGGCAGGAATTGCTGGGGATAGTCTACCCTGAGCAGGGTATTTTTGCAAACAATTACATCTTACACAGGGTTTCTGCTCTAGGTGCTGCATTGCCTGCTCATGGTACAGAGTGACAAGTTCCCCTTAAGCTTGGAACACACAGTTAGGAGTTGATAAAGTTAAGGACATTCCCAATAACTAATTCTACTGGATTTTTAGATGTAATAACTTACTTTCAAGCATGGCTCATGCTGAGGATATTTTGTGATATCAGAGGACTCGTGATCCGACAGAAATATTAGAGATGCACAATTAGGGTTTGTGCCATACGTATTTTTCCCCCCTTTCCTAGAACCTCAAAATGAGACTACATTTTTTGATGTTGTGTAGCAGAGTAGCTGCCCAATGAGTGAGTGGTTCTGTAAACCGAAGTGGTTTTGTTTGTCTTTCTCCTGTTTTTTGAATACACAACTTGGGCTAACTTTATAAATGAGATCTTAACGTTCTGTCTCACTTAAAGAAAAAATGGAGAATAGGATGTAGCTTGTGTCCCTTGTATGGGAGAGGCAGTTTCATGGTAGTCGTGCTGCCTCCTTCCAGCTGAATATCCTCTCTAAGGTCCTAATTGTTAGGGATTGAGGCTGATTTGTACTCTCTAGGCTGTGATTACCTGTCTTGTGCTCTTGAAAATATCTGAATGTGTTATTCCCTTCCCTCAGTCCCTCAAAATATTATTGTATGGGGCAAATAATAAACATATATAGATCTGTGAGGAACATGGGGGCTTCCTGAGCTGCCTTTTAGGTATCTATGTGCTGCCATTTCCATAGTATTCCAAGTTTATGCTGGAAGCTAATGGGAGTCTGGACAACGCACAGAAGAGCTTGGAAAGCTGGCAGTTGACACATTAAGTTTAACTGAAAATTAACTCATTTTGCTTTATTACAGGCATTTGGAAATGCAAAAACAGCACATAACAACAACTCCAGTCGTTTTGGGAAGTTCATTCAAGTCAACTATTTAGAGAATGGTATTGTCAGGGGGTAAGTACAGCGCGGAGTGGTCGTGGGGTGATCTCTGCAGGAACCGGGGAAGCCTTGCTGGATATCAAATGTTTGAGAGTCTCTAACTGAGCTTTATGGAATTGTCAGGTCATGCATAATATCCTTACTTTGCTGTACAACTGGATCAGGTTAAGGATTTGCTGCTGCATCTTTACCTTCCTGCTAAATGAGGGCTTTTTCGTAACACTCCATTTTGCATGGAAAAACAGAGGATCTGAATTTTTAAGAGGCGTTGGAGAGAAGTGAAATATATTTAAGGAAGCCATTTTAAAGAACAGTTTAAACACCAATTAAGAGAGATTAAAAAAGTGATATTAATTGAAATTGTGTGTCAAACGTGAAATATCCTGTGCCTGTATTTGCTAGTTTTGCTGCACTATGGAGTGTCAGGAGCCATCACTGATCTTTGTGCTCCAATATTTCCTTCCTTTGGTTCGTTTTCATGTTTGCAATCACATAAGTGACTGGGAACTCTGTAGCACATTGGCTTTGAGTGTTACTCTGAACAAGTTTGGCAGCTTTTCAGACAAGTCACACTAGCTCAGGAGATTGATACAATTTGAATACACTTGTTTCGTCTTTAGCATGAGAAAAAGCTGCTCAAACTTTGACCTCAGTCATTGTATCTCACGTCAAGGACTTTAAATCTCATTCAGGAGGTTACTTTATCACACCAGGAGGGGATTTCTGTCTGGCTTCCATTCTAGGCTGGCATACACACTGTCCTGTTGGACTGAGAGTCACACAGTTACCTGGAATATTTTGGGGGGTTTTGTAGCCTTTACATTCCTTGTCAGATAACTGTTAATCTCCTGGGATAACATGTTGTTACCTTTCTGTATATCTTGTTTCTGTTTACAATTTTCATCAGCACTTTCTTTGCTTTGTCTGCATGTTTCCAGTTATCTCCACTAAACCCAAGCACTGCAGATAGATGTCCTTAGATATTTCTCTGTGTTCCAATCATAATATAGGCCTACTGAAATCCCTGTTTTAGGTTTAAGGTAGTGACTAAGTTATTCTCTTGTATATTTTAGTGCAGATCTCATTATTTGAACTTATTTGAACTCTCTTGCCAGTTGTTGCCTGATGTTTTCTGAGGTCTTTTCTTTTTACCCTCATGTTTTTTTCATTTTCTGGTGGCGCCTTAGGGCTGTTGTTGAAAAATACCTGCTTGAAAAATCTCGTCTGGTTTCTCAAGAGAAAGATGAAAGGTAAGAGATTAAAACAGTTTTCCAAAAGAATTCCGATCAATGGAAGACTTAAAGAGCATCTGAAGTACATAAAATAAAAATCATATTTTCATGAGAGAAATGTATTGACTTTGTAGGAACTACCATGTCTTCTATTATTTGCTACTTGGAGTCAGTGAGGAAGAACGTAAAGAATTTCACCTCAAGCAACCTGAAGATTATTTCTACCTCAACCAGGTAACCTGTGACAGGGGTTTACCAGTGCATTGGTAAGGTTTGTCTGCCTTTTATGTCAAAGATGAAAGGAAGCAGGACAGATTATGCTTGTTTTCTTGTGATGTTTGGGCTTCGTTCTCTGCCTTTAGTTGTGAGTCTCTCTTCACAGCATAACTTGAAAATTGAAGATGGGGAAGATCTCCAGCATGAATTTGAGAGGTTGAAACAAGCCATGGAGATGGTTGGCTTCCTTTCAGCAACAAAGAAACAGTAAGCAGAACTCTTTAAACTTTTGTTACTGATAGTTGATGTTCATGAGTTGCAATAAGCTCTATGTGCATTGGCATCACAAGCAGTTCAGTAGGAAGCAAGGAGACCTGAGTGTTTCAGGGCTTACAGACAAATTCTTGAAGTAGAATTGGCTCTGTTAACATGTTATAATGATATCATAAGAAAAATTCTTATGAAATTTAATTTTTCTTCCTTAGGATTTTTTCAATACTTTCAGCTATTCTCTACTTGGGTAATGTCACATACAAGAAGAAAGCCACGGGTCGGGATGAAGGGTTGGACGTGGGACCTCCTGAAGTGTTGGACATTCTTTCCCAGCTGTTAAAAGTAAAGTATTTCTCTTAATCCCTAATGTTTGATACACCTGTTTGTCATGCTCTGCATCAGCATTTCACTTGGATATCCCAGTTGCTGTATCTTGATCTTCTTTTTAGTACTTCCGCTACATTTGTCTTGTGGGAGGGGAAACAGATGAAATTGGGGAAATCATTTAGGTTAGACATGTAGCATGGAAACAGAATTTGTTTATTCACCAATAATAGAGCTGATCAGGAGTAGATTCAGTGTAGGTGTGTTCTTTGCCACCACAGGGAAACATCTGAATGAATCCAAGCTGAGAATAATTTAAAGAAGTTGTAAATGGATGATAAATGTGGATGTTGTCAAAGAGCTTGGGTTTCTCTGAGGAAGTTCTATGTCCACTGTGTCTGTCAAATTACTCACTGAGGAGCTAGAAGGTGACAGTAACTCTTGTTCTCTTGTTTTGAAGGTTAAACGAGAAATCCTGGTAGAAGTGCTAACAAAAAGAAAAACTGTGACTGCTAATGATAAGCTTATTTTGCCTTATAGTCTCAATGAGGTGAGTAAAAGAACATTAGTAGAATGATTTTAAATAACTGAAACTTACTTTTTTGGGTTAAAAAAGCTAATATGGTACACTTTGACATTGTGAAGGTGTTAGGAAAGTTAGAAGTTGGCATTAAAGGAAAATCGTGATTTCATTTGTCTCTGCTGGGATTCCAATCTGTGAGTGACACTGGTTTGAAATAGAAATGCTTTTCTTTAAATGAAGTTCTGAACATTGTTTGATCTGCAGGCAATAACAGCTCGTGATTCCATGGCAAAGTCCCTGTACAGCGCTCTGTTTGATTGGATTGTTCTAAGAATCAATCATGCACTTCTTAATAAGAAGGACATGGAGGAATCAGTTACAGTAAGTTTCTTCCAAAACAAGTCTTTCCAGGCAGTTGTGTCCTTAGATTAATGATGTGTTCAGGTATCTGGGATAAATTTTGCTCAAGAAGCCCATGGTAAATTTCTTGGTAATATTTAATCATCTCTGTTTTTAGAATAGACAAAACTCTTAAATATTCAAATTAAATATTCAAGTATTCAAAATCTATCAGCTTAGACTGCAATGCTTTCTGTACTGTTTATCTCTTGGGGGTTAAGGCACTGTATAACAGACTATTAACTGGATTTCCATGTCTTCTTTTAGTGTCTGTCGATTGGTGTACTTGATATCTTTGGATTTGAAGATTTTGAAACCAACAGTTTTGAACAGTTCTGCATAAATTATGCAAATGAGCAGCTTCAGTATTATTTCAATCAGCACATTTTCAAATTGGAACAGGTAAGAAACAAGAAATAAGACTGTTTTTATCAAGAGCTCCTGTATTATGCAAACTTAACCTCTATTCTGCAAAATCCTGTGGCATAATTGTTTGAATATTTCTGGAAGTTTTACTTTTTTAACTTCTTGTTTCATTATTGCTTGTTATTGTTTGAAAGTACTGGCTTTGCTCATCTATTTAGTGCTCTGTGTGTGCTCATGGAAGTGAGATCTTTCTTCAGAGGGCTGGCACTAAGTTCCTGTTTAACTGCAAAAAGTAAGACAACATTCAGGTGATCCCAAATGAAACTGTGAAGTCTGATATTAAAAGTCTGTAGGTGAGGTGGGTTTGCTTTGTTTTAATGAGTAGGAAACAGTTTCTCTTATTTTTATCAGTTCTTAAGTATTTAATAAGTCTTTGTTGCTTTTCCCACCCAAGTGCATTTAGGGGATACAACTGTATGTTGATACTGGCAGTAGTTCTGAGATCCTGATGTTACTGGCATGTGTTGATTTACTTTTTTGCAGATGGTATTATCTTACAGAGCACTTTGAGTGCTGCAGGAGTGAACAGATCCTGTTTCTAGACTGAGCTCTGGGGGCTTTTGCTCTAGAAACTTGGATTTTTTTTCTGCTTTGTGTGAAAATGTGGTTCTCAAGTCACTCTGCTAAAAGGAAGAAGTCATTCTGTAGTATGTGGCAGTTTGTCAACAACATGTAGATAAATTTAAACAAGCATTTTAAAGAAAGGAAAATTACTAAACATCCAAATTTTGTGTGTAAACATAATGTTGAGGTCCGTGTTTTGTAACTTATGACAGAACTGGCTATCCAGGTTGACCAGAGTAAATAGTTGCATTGTCTTCTTTCTTTTTCTAATGCTGTTTTTCCAAATAAGCTTAATCCTTGAATGACCCATTTCCTGTATCTCTTGCAGCCTGAGGGCCCTCAGAGGGATCTCTATATCTTTTTAAAGAAAGGCTTTTTTGTCTGTGGAAAATGGCACTTTAGTTGTGTAAGGCAGCACACACTGAGCAGTCTGTTGGGCAGGCTGAATTCTACCTACTTAAAAATAATGCATTTATCATCATCATCTAGAGCACTGAGAGGTGCTCTTTGTCCTTTGTTTAATATAAAACTTATTTGATTTTCTGTATGATACCTTCTTTTACTTTGGTATCTTATCATTAGTTTGTGGGTATTTACAGCATTAAGAAAATCTGATATTTTATTTGTAACTTAGCAGGAAGCTTGTCCTGTTGAGCATTTGATGCATTGTCATTTCAGCAGAAGAGCTTCACGTTCTCTTGTCAGAGAGCTCCAAATTTTCTGAACCTAGGCAATATCCATTGCTTCCTCGGTGCTGTTTGTGTGGAGCTTAACTGCCTGGTTTGAAACTTCTGACAGTGCAATTTGAAAATTCTGGAACTCGATAATAAGTATTTGTCATTTCCTATAATACAAGAATTATGGAAGAGAAAAATAGACTTAAACTCCTCTGATGTGTCTACACAGGGCTTTACTGGAATGCTGTAGGTGTAATGTCTAAGTCCGGAGTCAGAGGCTGTGATTGCTGGGAAGGCAGAGCACAGCAGAACATTCTTTTCTCTACTTTTGTTTTTAAATAATTCTACCCCAAACATGCACTGTTGAGTGATGTACCTAAGTGGACCTTTAATCTGAGTCAGTCTGCCTGCTGTTCTGTTCTAATTTATAAATTTTCCTTCTTTCTGTCTCTGCTGCCTGAACTAACAAACTCCACTTGCTCTAGCTGTTTGAGGATGTGTTTTAAGCACTTAGAGCACAGGACATCAAAGGTCAGGGCACTGGACTGATGAGGGAATTTTCTTGAGCTACACAGGAGGAATATAAGAGTGAAGGGATCACTTGGCACAATATTGACTATACTGATAATGTGGCCTGCATTCACTTAATCAGCAAGAAGCCCACTGGCCTGTTCTATCTTCTGGATGAAGAAAGCAAGTAAGCAACAAACATCTTCTGGAAAAACATGTGTGGCAGGGAGGAGGGAAGGACTGAATGGGAAAATGAATACAGCACTTGAAAAAGGAGAGGAATATTGTGGGAAGCAAAGGGTCCTTTATGACCCTGATTTACACTGTAGTTTGCTTCTAATGACTCCAATATGGTGGTGATATAAATTAATGCTAGAACTGAACTTTGGCTTAAGCAAATTTAGAAACTTCCATGTTTGTGGTTTACTGTGGAATTACTAATTATTAATTAAAATAAAATGCATGTATGTAATTCCTTGGAACATTAAGTAGCAAATGTGGGAAATAGTTAATGTCCTAACTAAACTTGGCTGGTGAAATGGGAGGAAACATTGACATACAGAATATTCTGCTGTGTGTGGAGCTGTTTGGTTTGGGTCCAGAAATTAAGCCCACCTCTAAAATTCAGAGCAGGTGTAGAGATCTTGGACAATTAATACCTTTTACAAGGATCAATAGGTGTTCACTCTGTCACCATAATTAACACACCCGTATTTGAGAAGTAGCTGGCCTCTTTTGTTTTGTGTTCCCAGTTTTCCACATGCCACCAACCAAACTCTACTGGCGAAATTCAAACAACAGCATGAGGAGAACAAGTTCTTTGTTGGAACCCCGGTGATGGAGCCCGCTTTTATCATCCGCCACTTTGCTGGAAAAGTGAAATACCAGATCAAAGTAGGTGATGGATCTGATGGCCATAAAATAATCCTTGCCTTTCTGAGGGAGTTTTTTGTTAGGGTGTAGAAAATTTGCTGGGAATGGGCTGGATTAAAGGGTACTCAGTTGTACTTTGGATGGTGGTAGTGTAGACTGGAGGGTAACACTATAGTGAGAATTATTTGGAATAATGAGTTATTCTGAACAGTGATACCTTAGGTCAAAGCACAGCTTGTAGTTCAATGTGGCTATTTTTCAGGATTTCAGGGAGAAGAACATGGATTACATGAGGCCGGATATCGTGGCTCTGCTGCGGGGCAGCGACAGTGCGTTTGTGCGGGAGCTCATCGGGATGGACCCTGTGGCCGTGTTCCGCTGGGCCGTGCTGCGTGCGGCCATCAGGGCCATGGCTGTGTTTGCAGAGGGGGGACATCAGAGGGCTCAGAAAACTGCAGGTATGGCAGGGAAAACTGCTCTGGGAACACTGAATCCTCTACAGTTGGTTAGTGCTCGCTGGCAGAACCAGCAGGTTTGTGGTAAAACCGCATCAACTGGTTGCAATCTTTGGCACTAAGGGCAAAGCGACTGGTGAAAATGGTTTAACAGTCACACATCAAGGAGGTTGTCACTGTTTTACCTGAAATTATTCAGCCTTCCAGCTCCAATCAGTGCACCATGTCAGGCTGTGCCAAATTTGAAGTCCTAGTTGGTCAGAGCATAGGGCTGATAACACCAAGGTTGTGGGTTTGATCCCCACATGGGCCGTTCACTTAAGAGTTGGACTCTGATCCTTGTGAGTCCCTTCCAACTCAGAATATTCTGTGATGTTCTGTGAAGCTGGGGAAGATAATTCTAATTCTAGTATGCATTCTCATCACTAGTTTTGATCTTCTTAGACCTCTCTGAAGTTTCAAATGGGTATTCATAGTTAAAATTAATAGTTCATAACTATTAATTTTAAGAAGCTTTTCTGAGCAGTTGCAATTTACTTTCTAGAAGTAGGGAGTTTGAGAAGCAAAGTGCTGTAGCTCGATAAAATACTAAATAAAAACTCCAGGCCCTTGGATAGATATTTTTCTTGTTACAGTTGATGGGGTGTTTTTTTCTGTCTGTTTTGGCTGTATCTTTGTCAAAATGCAACTTGTTGGTTATTTCCTGACAGGAGTGGTACGTCAAGGACCCAGAGTTCCCCTTGCTGAACTCCAGAGATCCAATACTCCAGTAGAAAAAGTTTATCGGTGAGAAAACATCCTTAACCTGTCCAGGGAAAAGAGCTGAATTACTGAGTTGCATTTTTATATATCAAATTATCAACTAGATCTTTCCACAAGGAGAGCAAGTTTCATTTCTTCTCTCTTGTTTTCTTTGGCCTTTATAATACTATGAAAACAACACTCCAGCTCATTTTATGTAAGACCCAGTGCTACCACATGTTGGGGACAGCCTCAGACCCATTTACCACTGGGGTTTTGAGTTCTCTGTGCTTGGTGTGTGTTGCTTTTAGCATTGTGTTCGTCTGCAGCCAGTCTGTGTCACTGAAGGATTCATAGGAGCACTCATGTTTTTGCAGCCTTGTGACACCATTAGGAGGGAGGCATGTGCTACAGAACTGCCTCCAGTGTTCTCTATAGGCAGATTTGCCTTTCTATGGAGTATTTAGGCTTTATATATGTTCCTTTTGCAGCTACTCAGTGCTTGATTTCTCATTTGATTGTTCTGAGGGTTACACTATAAATGCTTTCCAAGACTTCACTCCTTTCCATGAAAACAAGAAGTAAGTGGCAATAGGCCTGAACTTCCAGGCCAGGGAGGCACATTTCCAGGCCATACTGACCTTCTGAGAATCCTCTGGGTAACAATGAAGCCATGGAGCACATAAAGCAGCGACTTCATGCTGCTTCCTAATTACTTCATCCTGGACAGCCTCTGTCACTTGGGGCAATTAAGAACTAAAGATCCAGTTTGGGTGAAAGGATTAGTCATAGAATAACAGATCTGTTTCCTTGGGACATCTTAAAACAAATCTTGGTATTCCAAAATATTCAGAGGTACCAAGGGAAGCAACAGCTGTCTGTAATAGTGCTGCTGCTCAGAATGGTGAGAGCATCTAACAGTCAGAAGTGATTCTTATGCTTCTGTTATTTTTAATTTGTGCCTCTTTGGAGAGTAAAGAAGGTAAGTTCTGTGCCAGGACACAACACTTCACAAGCACAGTGCATGCTTAAGGAATGGAATCTGCCACGAGTTAGAGACCACCCCAGGCTTACTTTGAAAAGCTAAACGTGAATAACTTTGAAATGGAAATGAAAACCAAAATTTCTTCAAGTATCCTCCTAACAACTTGTTTGTAACTTACTTTTCTGATGTGTGTTTAAGTAGCCTCATTTTAGTAATCAAATATATGTTAAAAATATTTATTGTTGATTATCAAGAAGTTTATATCTATCTGAAAAGGATACTACTTGGCTAAACAAAAGGGTTCCCTGCCCGTTAAGTATATTTTGCTAAATTTCTCTCCATTTTCTGAACTGATGGCTCAAGAATTTGCATTAAAAGATAGAATTAGAGAGTAAGTTTAGAATGAGACCCTGGCAATTAAATTTTAGGGCACTGATGGAGTAGAGAGTGCTGACTTGACATCAGAATCATTCACGCTTAGGAAGAAGTAGCCTGGGATCGACCTGCCACAGTTTGGAGCATACTTGATGATGGGATCTCTTGGGGTTTTAACTCCTGTTTTCCCCCCCTCCTCATTGCTGTGTATCTCTGTTTGCCACCTTTGTGTTGCTTTGGACCATTTTAGAGACATACATGAGCAGATCATCGCCAGTATTAAAGGACTGCCCTGGCAGGGGGGGGATCCCTGCAAGCTGCTTCGGTCACTCAGCCACCTTCAACACCGCTCCCACTTCATGTGAGTTCCGGTGCTTTGGTGATTGCTTTGAAAATGCAACAAGAACCAAGCAGTTACTCCACTCCCTAAAAAAGATACCTGTCTCAAGCTTGTCTTCTGCAAAAAACTAAGCAAGACAATGAAGAATAAAACATCTCTTCTGAAAAACAGCCTGTAGGGAACACTTTGTTGCTTCATTGCATTAGATGAAAGTTAAGCCTGCTTCTCACGTAAGCTTGCTTTAAACCCAAGTACGAGCTTGTTGTTGCAAAATATTCAACAGTGAGATCTCTCACAAGGTATAAGGAATGGTTTCCTGAAATTCAGGATGCAGAGGCTGGATATATTCCTGGGTTAAGAATATTTACATGTACAATTCTGTGCCTGTGTCAGAAAATGAATCTGGGCTTTGTTGTATAATAAGTAACTGTATAATTGTATAATACATAAGTAACTGTATAATAAGTAAACTTGGTGGCATGGAGCTGGAACCTGCCTCACACATGCTTAGAGTCAGGAGGATGTGAACTGCAGGCCTGTTTTTAAGGGCTTCCACTTGTTCACCTTCTGTGTGTGGATGGGAGCAGTGCCTGAGGTGTATCCTGCTCCAGGCAGTTCTGGGAATGAGCTCAGACATTCCAGAATTCCCAGGTGGGGTGCTGGGACATGCATTGTCCTTCTGAGAGTAGTTAGGTACTTTCACAGGGGTTCTGCTGCGAGCAACAGTAACTTGTGAGTTGGATGTTTTTATTTGGTAGTGCCTTAGTATTAAACAAGAGTTCAGTGACTGTACAGTTCAATAGAATAACTCACACTGAAACAGTCTCTGAAACAGTGCAGTTTGGAACAGCTTTAACTTCAGAGAAAATCTTACACTTTTGAAAGCTTCCAATACCTACAGAGTTTATTTAATAAAAAGACATTCTTGTTGCAAAGCAGTTTGCATTTCTTGCATTGATTACTTGCGAAAGACATGCATGAACACACCCTGCTGCTGTTTGTGCTCATTTTCTTCTGTCCTTCATCTTATCTCACATGACTTATGGCTTGCTGAAATAACAAAAAATCATGTGTATTTCTTTCCTAAATTATATTTATTTTAACAGGAAAAGTAAAGGTATCAAACAGAAGCAGATCATTCCCAAGGTAAAGTTATTCAAAAAATTTAGATTTCTCTTTTTTGGTTGGTTTTTTTTTTTTTTTTTCACTGTGAACCTAATTTTGATTGCCAGAACTCACTGCAGAAAATGTTGTTTCACAGGGTAGGAAAGTTGTGTTGTTTATGCTTTTCTGACAAGCTAAGAATAGATAAATGTTCACCTTTATAAGAATTGTTAAACGGGAAAAAATTGTGAGCTGGCATCTGTTTAGTTAGACTGGAGGTGCCACAAATGCATAGTCACTTCAAATCAGGGAAGGCAAACACAGTGATTATGTAATTCTTCTTGTTTACCTTATATTCTTGGGATGGGGCAGTGGAAAAGTTTTCCTCTTAAGGAGTGTTTTCGTCCAAAATAGAAATAATTACAAAATGTAACATGCCATTGAATGTGGAACTCTAGGTAGCTGGTTTCATTTTTACTTGTTTGGATGCAGACAGAAGTATTTCCCCTTTAACTGAGACCTGCACTTTGTTGATTATGAAAAATTTCTTCTAGAACTTGCTGGATTCCAAATCGCTGAAGCTCATAGTGAGCATGACTCTGCACGACCGAACCACGAAGTCCCTTTTGCACTTGCACAAGAAGAAGAAACCCCCCAGCATAAGTGCCCAGTTCCAGGTAGGTGACACACCCCCGGTGCACCCTCAGGGAACAGGCCCTCCTGGGCTAATCTAGGCTAGTCTTACTTGGAAAACAATGGGTTTTATTCTTGAGATTTGTCTGAAGTAGGGTTATTACTTATTAAAGTCAGTACATTTAAAGACTCCCCTTATGCTGTGAAATGTGTTAGTTCTCTGTGCCAACCAGCCTCATCCTTGTATGCAGATCTAGTGCTACTCTTACAGGATAAGCAAACCCTGCTTTAAATTCTCTTGAGAAAAGGTAAAAAGCAAAGACAAGGATGTGCCGTGGAGTGTGGGAGAACCTCTGCTTGGATGAAAAAGGATTTTATATAGCCAAGAGACCTGAAAGATCTTATTCCTGAGGCAGAAGCTGCACTGCAGTCAAACAGAACTCAAAATGCTGATATCTGAAGAAGAAAAATATTTCTGAATGTTTCATTTCAGAATTCACTTAATAAGTTACTGGAGACCCTGGGCAGAGCTGAGCCCTTCTTCATCCGCTGCATCCGCTCCAACGCCGAGAAGGTGAGGCTGCCCTGGAGCTGAGCTGGGTGCTGAGAGTCTAAGGCTCCAGCCTTGTAATATCTCTCTTTCAACTTGTTCACTGTCACTCTTCAGGCGCTCACTGCATGTTGTCTGCTGATGTCTTTCAGAAAGAAATGCTTTTTGATGAAAACTTGGTGCTTCAGCAGTTACGGTACACGGGCATGCTAGAAACTGTGAGGATCAGGAGGTCTGGCTACAGTGCCAAATACACATTCCAGGTATGTAAGGAACTGCATTGGGTTTTCAGAAATATCTGCTCTATTTGGAAAAGCACATGTTGCCTCAGAGTCTTTTGTGGCTCTTGATATGAAGCTCATGACTTAGAGTGAACTGTAAAAATGCATTGTCGTTTTGAGAGAGCCTGCGTGGTAAAAAGTTCTAGTTGAACTATTGTGAGTCATCTGCCAGTAAGTTGTTCCTTGTTGCATGAAGGAAAGCATTCTGAGTGCATTCAGTCAGTGCTGCACAGTACTGCTTCCATGTGGGAGTTAGTTTTCTGTAAAACAATCCGGTAGCTTTAGGGATCACATACAGGTGATCTTTACCATTAACTGGACTGAAGCCTGCATTTTACAGAGTAGGAAAAATAGTTCTGTTTGAAGTATTTTCAGGTTTCTGTAGCATAAGTGTCTTAATCAGATTTATGTTTTAAAGCTAAAACTCTAAACTTGTGAATTGTCTTCTAACTTTGGTGTCTTGCTGTCTCTGCTTTTCACAGGAATTCATAGACCAATTTCAGGTGTTACTGCCCAAAGATGCCAAAGCCTCTAAGGAAGACATTTGTGCTTATTTGAATAAACTAAAACTGAATGAAAGCTACTATCAAATAGGGAAGACCAAGGTCTGTGAAACTTTCTGTAAGGCAGTAAGAAACATTGATGTACACTGCAAAATTCAGTGCTGTTCTTTTACAGGTGTTACTCTTCTCTGCATTTTGTACTTAAATGAACTGTTTCAACTAGCAAATGTTGACACAGATGTTACAGTTGCCTCCTTGGTTTTAATGCCAACCTGTTTTCTTGACACAGTACAAATCTGTATTATATGGATATTTTTGGGGGGATTGGTGCTATTGGCATTTGTCAAACATGTCGATGTTTTCATTTTAGAAGGGACCTGTGATTTGAAGGCTGTAAATACAGTTGTATGTTTTAGAATGCAAACTCTGAAATTTAAAAGGACTTTTAACTTTTTGGGCATGCTGTCAGCCAGTAAGGTTTGGTGCAGTGCTAAGCATTACCATTATCTTATTATACCTCCAATGGGGGCTCAAAGGCTCCTGTTAACTGCTTTTTGATGAACTTTTCTTTAACTGGGCAGGTTTTTATGAAAGAGGCTGAAAGGCAGATACTACAGGATACACTACACAAAGAAGTGATCAGGAAAATCATTCTTCTCCAGAGCTGGCTCAGGATGGTTTTGGAAAGGAGGCGCTTTCTCAGGACACGGCAGGCGGCCATTGTTTTACAGGTATCTGTAAGAATTGCCAACCTTGTTTTCCCAACGAACAAACTGTTATGTAACGCTCCCCACCTTGAAGAAGCCCTCTCTTTCTTACTTCAGAAATATCCCTTCCAGGCCTGCTGGCGTTCCCGCTGTATCAGGATGGCCCTGCAGAGGAGCAATGCTGCCATCGAGATCCAGGCAGCCTGGAGACAGTACCGGGAGCGGAAACACTTCCTGCAGCACAGGAGGAGGATTTGTCTCCTGCAGGCCCTGGTCAGAGGGCACCTGACACGTAAGAGGTAAAGGAGGAGGAGCAGTATGACTCAGCTAGTTGGCTTCACCTGCCAAGCTCAGTTTGTGTGATGTTTTGACTGAATAAACAACTTAATAAACTGTTGCCCAGAGAAGCTGTAGCTGCCCCATCCCTGGAAGTGTCCAAGGCCAGGTTGGACAGGGCTTGGAGCAACCTGGTCTAGTGGAAGGTGTCCCTGCCTATGGACACTGGATGGGCTTTAAGGTCCCTTCCAACCCAAACCATTTTGGGACTCTATGAAGTTAAAGATAGTTATTACCATGTGATATTTCAGTATCAAGTGACCAGTGGTGTGTGGACACTGGTTAAGTGCTCAGGACTTGAGCTTTACTGAGCTGAGCTGCACTGATGCTGGCAGTCCTGACAAGCAGACACCTCCCTGCAGGCACAACTGGGACTGTAGCTGTACTTTGTGCTTGTATTGCTATTTGGCTGCATTTAAGCAGTTGGTACTTTCTTTGACCACTGGCCATTAAATATTTGTGTTTTCATCTTACAAATTCTTAACAGATATCAGGAAAGGGCTGTAGAAAGGCAGAAAGCTGAAGAAAAGCAGAGAGAAATGCAGGAAGATGAAGACAGAGAGGATGATAAGAGCAAGCATGAGCAGAGTGAGCCAGCAACACATGAGCTACCTGTGAAACATGAAACAGAGCTGGATCAGGCTGCTGGGGATGAAGATCGAGCTCAGAATGAACAAGCTGAAGATCGAGCTCAGAATG